CTTCAGAATCACGGTCCTCTTTCTTGGCATTATTCCCATCGATCAGACATTGGAAATGCCAAAGTCATCCCCTTCATCCTGGACCATTAGCAGTCACCATACATTTTCAAACATGACCAATGTGTCCATTTACTAAACTTATTTGTTACAAGGGAGAGCTATTATTTTGGGAAGGAGAGAGTTGTGGTGGGGTATGAGTAATTAGTGATCATGATGTAAAGAAAGAAAAGAAAGGAAAGGTTATCAATTAAATATTTTAAAAATACTCATGAGCTGCTATAAATATTTTTGTACATATGTAACAATAAATACTTACTAAATACCTACTATATTCCAGTTACTTCAGGCACTGTGCAAGGACTGAGGATACAAATATAAGCAAAAAGAAAGATAGTACCTGTCCTCAGGGAGCTTACATTTGAATGGGGAAAGGCAATCCAAGAAGAAGGAATAAAAAAGGAGGGGCTGATATCTGCACAAGTCATGTCAGCAAAGTATAAAGAGTCAGAAGCAAAGCAGGAAAAGCAATGACCACCTGGGCACTTGGTCAAAATGGAGGCTCCTGGAGGAACTCACCAAAGGGGAATGGGGCCACAGAGATGGAAGGAACTTCCAGTGTGAGAAGGCAGTGGAGGTATGGTGGCAAAGACCAGAGAACTGAAAGTAAGAAGTGAAGCTAGGAGAAGAATGAAGTATGGCTGTCCTGAGCTGCATCTCTAAATGGAGTTTCTTGTTTCTCTGATCTCTTTGGGTTATAGTTTAGCAGTGACATAGTGGAAACAGAAGGTGGCAAAAACAAAACAAAACAAAAACAACCAAGCCCAAACCTAGAAACCAAAGAGGGAAGGCATCCCTGGGGGAATGTGACATATGAATGTAATGGGATACTATTGTAAGAAATGAGAGAAAAGACAGTTTTAAAAACATGGAAAAACTTTTAGGAACAAGCTTATTATTCATACACAGGGCAGAGTGAACTGAGCAGAACTAGAAGAACAATTTATGCTTTAACATCAAATGAACAATTCTGAAAAATTTTAGAACTCTGATCAACTAAATAAACAACCGTGATCCCAGAGGACTGGTAAAGAAGGATGCTGTCCATTTCATGATAGAAAGATAATAGACTAATGAAGAACAGCAAACACATTTTTGGATGTGACTATGGGGGAATTTATTGTGCCTGACTGTACTTATGTAATACACGGAGTCTGTGTTTTTCTTTTTAGTGATTCCCCTCCAGTGAATGGAGGGGGTAGGAAGGAGAAAAAAAAATGAATGTTTGATAATCATTTTTCAATTTTGCTATACTGTTCTTTCTTTTTCTTTAAAAATATTTGTTTCAAAAAGTGGCTTGCTGTGGAGGGAGGGAGAAAAAATGAATAGGATACAAAAACAAAGATATTAAAATAACAAAAACATATACAGAAGACAGAAGAAGGAAATTCAGAAAAGTACTAGCAGGGCAGTTGATAATACCATGTTAGATTTAACATATACATAAATAACAAGGTATATATAATAGAGTCTCAAAGATTTGCACATTTTTCTCTTGAAAAATTATACACTTTTCTCTGGAAAATTAGTTTTTGTTTATATTTGTCAAATTTATGATAAAAAGAAAATCAAATGAGTTGATTCAATCTCAAATTCATTCAGATTTTCTAACAAGTTTGAAAAACCAATAATGGATGGGAAATAACATATTTTAGAAAACTTAGACTAGTGCATAAGAATACATAAGGGAAATTATTGGCAACGATATGAATAATGAACTCTGAGAATTGATGATCATTTTTCTTGCATTCTGTTGATTTCTCCATGCATCACTAATCCATGAGGGAGATAGCAGAGAATTGGGTACGTGAACTGGAGCACCTTAAGGACTGATTCTCTTGTTCTTCCTTAGCAACTAGAGGTATTCCAGTTCTTGTCTCCTAACTAAGCATACAATGTGAAATTAAAATAATTAAAATGAAAATAAGCCAGTAGGGCGGAGTGTTTTAGGGAGGCTTTAACTTTGACTACTGGGATTCATTTAATGACTTGTTAGTGTGTGTACAAGAATGTTTCTTCTGTAGCTATAATTGCCAATCTTCTTTTAGGGAATGTAAATGAATCAGAATTGCTTGCTGGAAAAGAGAAGCACACACATGCATACACACATTATATGCTACTATAGTAATAATGAAAACCTTTTTAACCTTGTTAGGATCTTTGTATATTGCAAGTTTATTTCTCCCTCCCCTTAAAACCTGAGTGAGCAGTCACATATGATATCCCAAGGAAAAATGTTTTAAATACCTTTGATCCCTACTTTTGAGAATAACTCAAGGTAATCATTCTGGCATGGGCCAGACAATTTAAGACCAGAACTCCCTGGGTTGACCAATGCTTATATTAATTGGCTATGATCTCATAAAGATGTATGTATTTTAATTGCTTGTTTCTTTCTTTTGCTCCATACTGAAAAAAGTTGGTGTCTTCTCCTGTCTCCCTGTTTATAACTTCATAGTTAATTACCCATCTGGGCCCAAATGCCCCCATAGCACCAGGGATATTACATAAAATCTTCTGTCCTCAAATTAATGAGGAATTGTTCAAATTCCATTTTCTTGTTCTCCTCAATTAAGTACTGCACCCAAAGAACCCAAATGATACATCTGGAAGTGGAGGTGATAGGTAACACCTTGCTCCCTGCCAATCACCATCCTGGAACCCTCAAAAAATAGGGAGCATTTTTAATGATGTTTGCTATAGGCTACTGTCAGAAATAGGCCTTTTTTTGGGGGGGGGGAGTCAAGAAGACAGAGAAAAGGCAAGGACTCGCCTGAGCTCTCTCAAATTTCCCTCTAAACAACTTTGAATAACACCTGAAAACCAATTCTGGAGTGGCAGAACCCACAAAAGGATGAAAGAAACAATTTTCTAGCCCAACACAACTCAGAAGGTTGGCAGGAAAGGTCTGTTGTACCAGGGTGAGAGTGGAGAGTAGCTGACCAGCGGCAGACCTCGGGAGCTATAGAATCAACAGCGGCTGCAGCTGCTTCCAGAGCTCTCAGCCCACAGATGGGAAGGGGATGTCAGAAGGAGATTACGGGGGTCCCCTCGCTGGCACTGGGTATAGGACTCTGTTGTGCTGCCCATGCTCGAATCCATTCACAGTCCTGGATCACACTCCTAGGGTGAGGAGAAACACTAGCACACCAGAGCTTGCTACCCCAGGGAAGTGGGGAGACCCTGCTAATGGTTCTAGGGCAGAAAAGAATGCTTGTGGTAACTCACAGACCAGTGCACAGGCCAGGAGAGTAGTAAACACACGTCTCCTTAGATCGCATCACCTTGGAAGAACTGAAAGCTCACCCCTCCTCTCCCCCCAGAAATAGCTCTGAAAACAGCTGCACAAAAAACTTGTAGCTTAATATTGATATATTTAATATATTTAATAATTCAAAGTCAAGAAGTTGGCAGGGAAAATGAGCAAACAACAAGAAAAGATCCTGACCGTAGATAGTTATTATGGTGACAGGGAAGATCAAGACACAAACTCAGAAGAAGACAATAAAGACAATCTAGGAAGCCATCTTGGAGAAGCTGCCGCATAGTTATCCCATCTGGACATAGATTTGGAACAACACAGCAGCCCCTTCCCATCTCTAGCTGGCTGTAAAGAATATCCTCTAACTGATTTCTTTCTTATACACATAAGTCTAGTGTATTGACTTTCCCCTTTCCCCCTCTCTAGTATGAATTCTGATTCGCCAAATCCACGTGAGAAATGTTAGATGGTCTGTAAAAGCTTCATCTCATTCTAGCCCCAAGCCTAAAGCATTGGAACGGCCTGAGTCATTTGAGTCTGGTCAACAGTAGCCACAATAGTAGCAATGGGCACCAAAATCAGAAAGTATTACCAAATAAATAGGAAAATATCTAGCAGTACCCACCAGAATGTGATGTACAAGCTGAGACAGACTCATATGATTGACTCAACTATAATGCTGATGAGAAGATAGTGTGAACTTCCTTGTGAGGAATGGCACTTGCTAGGCCCTGGCTGACAGAAGTCATGTTGCAGACTCCATGTTTGATCCCTAGTGGTCCCACCTGGGTCCCTTGACGTTCCTATGTACCCAATAGCTGAAGCCAGCCAGCTTCATTTAGACAAGGTCTGCAAGGCTCTCCCGAGCGTCATTGGTTTAGTCAACTTTCATAATCATAATCCCCTTGTAGTTGGTAAGGAGGTTGCAATCCAGGCCATTTGTCTCTAAGGTTTCCCTTTCTCCTTGGTCCCTGTGAATCTGCCTCATAATAGCACTCAGATAGGGGGGCCATCTCTAGTTGTCCTGATCTATGTCTTGTTACCGGACCTAGATGGAGAAAGTGAGGCTGGGGACTTGGCACAGCCCTGCCTCACTTAAATCCAATTCATTTGCAAGTCACGGCATCACCTTCCTGATGTCATGGTCCTCTTCGAACGAAGGACAAACAACAACACCAGATGAAAAGACAGAAGCCCAGGATTCGGAGCTCAGGGTAAGCATGCACCTCAGCTGAAGACTGCGCTTGCCCATGGAGCTTGGGAGCCACAAGCATTCATGTAAGAAACTGCCTGACTTGTGGTGTTTGAATGCTGTATTCCTTCTGTGTATCTCATCCATCATCTCCCTCCCCCACCCCAGACCTTTCATTGTACCCACCCAGGTCCTTTTAGAGACCACATTTGTGAAAAAGTGATGAGTATATAGAATATAAATTAAATGTTTTTACTGTTGGTACTGGATTTTTTTTTCGGGGAAAAAAGCACAATACAAAACAAACATTGATTAAAAGATAGTGGTAAGTAAGAGATACTCGATAGTTGGCACAAAAGCTGTTGTTGTTCAGTTGTGTCTGATTCTTTGTGACCCCATTTGGGGTTTTCTTGGCAAAGATACTGGAGCGTTTTGCCATTTGCTTTTCCATTTACAGATGAGGAAACTGAGGCAAACAGGGCGAAGTGACTTAACCCAGGGTAACACAGCTAGTAGTCGGAGGCCAGATTTGGACTCAGGAAGATCAGTCTTTCTAACTTCAGGCTAGCATTGTGCAACCTTGCTGCTCACAAAAACATAACTGATTTGAAATGAAGTAATTAGGAGTGAGTGTTTGGTTAAGACACATACTGTACTTTGGTTTACAAATTGTTCTTGTTATTTTAATCCCCTCAAGGCAACACTTCCCAGACATACTGTAAGAGTCTCAAGAATTCTGGTTCATTTTCTGGGTCAGCGTTCATTCTCAAATCTTTGTTGTGGTTAAATGTCCCCGGGGGGGGGTAGGAGTAGGGAGGATCCTTGGTTGTCTAAAGGTCCTTGGTTGTCTAAGTAGGGAAGCTATGTTGGTGTTTGATTTCTAAACTAAATGAGGCTTTTAAGATCGATTTTCCCCGCTTTTCTGAGATCAAGGGATTTTTGAACATAGAAAGGAAGGAGAATGATAGGGGCAGGGTGACTTTGGGGTGTAGGAAAGAGATCTTGGATATTAAAATGTCACAGAGAGGATGAGATGAAATATTTTAATTTCAACTGAATTGTGGGAGAGAGAAGATAAAAGTCACTCTACTTGAGAAAGAGAATAACAAACTAATAAGTAAAGTTTTCTAACTGTGAAGCTTAACTATTTAAGAGCTATGCCTTTCATGGTCAGCTTACCTGTTTAAATTTCATTTAAGACTGCAACACTTGATAATAGGATCATTGAATTAGAGCTAGAAGTGACCAGGGAGACCCTTAAGTCTTACGGAGAAAATACAGAGGTGAGAACCTGACATTTTGCCTATATTATCCAACTTCTTAGGAGGCAGCTGGCATAGTGGAAAGACCCCCGGCTATCTAGGAACTGGGTTTGAATCCCACCTCTGATGATCCTACCTGTGTGACAAGTCCCTTAATATTCCTGAGACTCAATTTCCTCGTCTTTCAAATGAGGGGATTGGAGGAAGTGGCCTCCAAAGTCCTTCCCAGCTCTAATCTACAATCCTTTTGTGAGACCTAACAGAAAAGTTATTTTTGTCCACCAGGGTATGGAAAAGACAAAAATAGAATAAAAAATGGTTGCACGAAATGGAAATATAATAAAATTTTGAAACCATAGATTTTTCCCTCAAAAATAAGAAAGATGAAGATAGTAGTCCTATATGCATAATCACTCAGTATTCATTCTATTTTTATAAAAGGTCCTAAGATTTGGCACTGGAAAACATCTTAAAACCAGTTCAATCTAAAGTCCTCATTTCTTTTTGTGTTTGTGGCCAACCACTGCTTCAAACTGAACATTTTGGACCCGATTTATGGCGGCCAATGCACGCTCAGGAAGAAATCTGTGGAAGAAAAAGGAAAGCTTTTCAAACATTGTTTGAGAATATAGACACCAGCACTCATATGAAATGGGTGAAAGTAACAGATGCACAGGACATTAACCTAAGGATTAGTCGCTTTGCCAGTAGTTTTTTCACTGTCAAATTTTGATTTTCTGATGATTGCCTTGCCTGGATTTGGTTCCTTTTCATAGTTAGTCAATTAATCAACAAGCATTTATTTATTAATCACCAACTATGTTCTCGGTGCTGTGCTAGGTGTTGGAAATATAAAAACAAAAACAAAATGCTCTCTACCCTAAAGAAGCTAATATTCTACTGGGAGAGAACTTTTTATTCTTCTTTCCCCTATTGCCTTTTCATATTTATATTCAAAACCCCCAATATGTCAGCCCTATATTTTAGAAGACATTCAGAATACTAAGGTTTCTCTAAATCATTAAGAAACATCCTCTTCAATATCTTCAATATTGTCTTTCCACACTGTTTCCATTTTGCACTAGCAGAAAACTGCTTGCTTTGAATGACACCACATCCTTGACCACCTGTTTCAGAGCAGGTTACTCCTTTTCCCATTAATTCTCAACACAATGAACTAGAAGGAGGAGGTGGCATACAAAATCACAGAATTTGAGAGTTAGAAGACTCCTCGGTGGTTTTCCATACTTGAACCCGTACTTGAAAAGGATCCTCATCATTTATTTTCCAGAGTATGGCCCCTTAGGGTACCTCTTCTACTCTTTTCTGTTGTTCAGTCGTTTCAGTTCTGTCTGACTCATCAATACCCTATTTGAGGTTTTCTTGGCAAAGATATTGGAGTGGTTTACCATTTCCTTCTCCAGCTCATTTTACAGATGAGGAAACTGAGGCAAAAAGGGTGAAGTGAGTTGCTCAGGGTCACATAGCTAGTGAGGGTCTGAGACCAGATTTGAACTCAGGTCTTCCTGACTCCAGACCCTATGTTCTATCCACTGTGCCACCTACCCTTTTAATCTTACCTTGAATAATTATTTTAATTATGTATTATTATTATTTAGCTCTGCACATGTGTATATTTTGCTTCCCCCAGTAGGCTTTTTATACCCAACACCTAGCATAGAGTAGATGTTCAATAAATGTTCATAGGTTTTTGGAAAGAATTGCAAGAGGGATGTTATGCATATAACATTTTTTTTTTTTTTTTGCATATAACACCAAGGCAAAAAATTTCCCTGGAAATGGAGATAAAATGATCATGCGATGGCAGATCATAAGATTGGACTGATATGGAGACCAAAATAGGTTTAAAAAAACAAACCCCAAACTCAAGCCTTTCTATGTTTGCTCATGTAAATACCAACTACATAGCACATTCAGTTTTTTTGAAAGTTGTGCATAGTAGATTTGCAGTTTCATGTTCAATTGTCTTTTTTTATTTTCCTATGTTATGGAAATGCTTGTTTTATTCCACAAATTAAAAAAAAGAAAAAATATGATTACTAGGTGTGAATCGAGGATGAAAACAACTTCCTTAGGCAGTGAGAGGCTGCAGAGTAAGCAAGATGACTATATCAGAATGAAGCACAAAAGTACTGAAAACTTGGAATATTGAAAATGTTTCAGAATGAAAAGCAACATTTAGTATTTGATTCTGAAAAGAAATATTCCCCTATTTTGTGACAGTTTGCAATATCTTCATGGCTGTTCCAGTGTTTTTCTAATGACTGAATTGGATGTGCTCATTAATTAATTAATTAAACCAGGAAGAAACTAAATATACACAGCAAAAAGAATGCCTTGTTTAAATAGAGACATATACAGCGGAGAAAGAGAGAGATCTCACTCTGTCAGTGAGAAAGTCCAATCTGACCTTCCTTTGAGTGATCATGAAGGAGATGCCTGGAAATATTTGGGAACCATTTTTGTGGTCTTGGCATCTCTAGGACCTGGCATAGGTAGGTATATTTCAGACTATAAGATATCCTAGAAGTAGGGTTAAATTATGGCTCCAAACACCCTTCTTCCATGGCTTAAAGCTTAAAGCTGAAGAAAGAAAACATTTATTTGTGGAATATAATATGAGCTCTTAATTTTTTTTTTTTGTTACATATGGACCTTAAATAACTTTAAGGTCTGTTGAGTCTAACCCTAACCAAACCTCCACTTTACAGATGAGGAAACAGAGAAGTTGAATAACTTTGGTCAAGATCCCACACATTTCCGCTTGCAGTTGCAGGAGTGGCTTTATTTAACAAAATTGTCTAACTGGATTCTTTATTCGTCTAGATTATCAAATGGCAATAAATATATTAAAATTCAGTATGCTTCCTTGTTAAGCTGAAGTTTTCTTGCTTGAAAAAACAAATTAAAACCAATCACACCCTCCCAAGAGCATAACTGAGTTAGATTATTTCCAAGTAAATCTTCTTACTTCCTCTCCCTGACTTGGGGTGCTTAATCGGTACTTGTTAGGTTCTGAACTGAATTTCTGCTTCTTTTTGGTGAAGATTTACTACACAGTTTTGTTATTGTCTTTGCCTTAGATTCTCTCCCTCTGCCAGTATCACCCAGCAATCTCTCCTCCTTGGAGGTTCACTGTATGAAATAAATATCCTATCCAGATTTTTGTTGTGGTACATTAGGATCTAGATTACCCTCTTTTCTTGACTGGCTCATAGTTTACATCCAGATTAATCTTTGGCTTCCAAAGTCTTAGAGGTATCAAACATAAATGATGTATCTTCAAATTTTGACCCTCAAGTTCATCAACTTCTTCAAGTACATTGACTTTCCTCTTCTTCAGCAACCCACAGGGATGTTCATGACCTTGATAACCCATAACTACGTAACCTTGATGATCTTGTGTTTTTCCACTTCTCTCTGTCCGTCATTCCCCCTAAAACTGTTTTCGTCTTTATGACCCTGTAGTTTATTACTGCTCTGGCCTTACTTTTCTCCATTCACAGCTGGGACCCTGAGTGGTTAGTTCTACTCACTGTCCTTCACTGTCTTCTTGTCCTACTGCCATTCTCCCCTTTGCCAAGCATCAACCTTGACTCATCCCCACCATCCACCTACTCCTAAGCTGCTGAACCATGTTGTGACATCATGCTAAGCAGACCCAGCCAGTTAATGTTATCTAATCTTAAGTGGTCCCTCATTGTTGAACCACAACATTTTTATTCTTCTTTGATCTTCTCTGTATACCTAAGTTGCTATTCAAAAGCTTCTCTTTGATCCTCAAAATTCCCATCTCTTCCAGGATCTCTTAGTAGATTTCCTCACTTCCAACTGTACTGAGAAAATAGAGGCATCTGCATTGAGGAGCATGGAGGAAGAGGAAGCCTTTCTCCCCAAGTCAATCAATGAGCATTTACTAAGTGCTTACTACGTGTAAGACATCATGCTAAGTGCTGGGGGTGCAAAGAAAAGCAAAAACATTTCCCGTTGTTTTCTTGTATCCTCATTGCCTAGCACATTTCAAAACTAAAAAAAAAAATTGAATTGGAAAAATTTTGTGAATAAAAATGGTGCGCCTATCTTTTTTTTTTCTCCTTCTCTCTAGAACTTACAGCAGGAGTAGTATTCTCCACCATCAACAGCCACTAATCACCTTGCCTCCTTGTTTCTACAAGAGGCAATCTCTTAGAAACCCAACAAATCCAGAACAGAACTCTGTTATCTTTCTCTTCCCCAAACCCTTCCCTTTTCTGAACTTCCTGCTAATACTCCAGTAGGGCTCCACCATCTTCCCAATCATCAAGGCTTGCCCTTGGTGTCTTCCTCACTTGCATTCCCCCACATATCCAATCTGCTACCAAATCTTGTCATTTTTACCTTGACACCATCACTGCTCTATGTCCCCTTTCCTTGGCTCTCACAGCCTCCACTTTACTTTACGCCTTCATCACCCATCTCTCTCTTAGACTATAGCTTTCCAACTACTCTCCTGGCTTCAAATTTCTCCCGACTCAAATCTAGCTTCTATTCCCCTGCCAATGATTTTCTTAAAGCAAAGGTCTGCCTGTGTCACTCCTCAGCTCAATAAAGTCCAGTGCTTCCTATTACTTTCAGGATCAAATACAAAGTCCTCTGTTTGGGATTTAAATCCCTTCATAATCTGACCTGTTCCCTTCCAATGATAGTTCCAGGCTCATTGGAAATATTAGACTCCCTTTCCCACACTCTGTGATCCAGCCAAACTGGCCATGTCTCTGTTTCTCATGAAATTCTATCTCCCATTTCCAAGTTTTTGCACTGGCTGCCCTCAATGCTTGTAATGCCCTCCTTCCTTATCTCTGCCTCACAGAGTCCTTCACTTCCTTTAAGATGCTGCTCAAACACTCTCTTCTACATGAAACCTTTCCTGATCCCCCTGACTGCAGTGTTCTCCCTCCCAAACCACCTTGTAATGAACTAATTTGCACCTATTTGTATTTATTCATGCTGTTAATATTTATATAGGTACTTCTTATCTTCTTCATCAGAATGTATAAACTACTATGTAGGAATTGTTTCTTGTACTTACATTCCCAGACCTAACCCGGTATCTGGAACATAGTAGGCATTTAATAAATGCTTGTTGATTAATTGCTCTATCTCCATTAGCCCACTTGCAGTCTCTCCCACATGGCTCTCTATTTTCCATTTTCATGCTTTTGTACTAGCTGTTTTCCATGCATGGAAAGTCTTTCCTGGTTCCTCCACCCCCAGCTGTTAGTGGCTTCCCCTATGAGTTTACCTTCCTTGTACTATCTCTATATCTTGTCTATCCCTAGTTATTTACATGTTGTCTCCCTCATTAGAATGTGAGCTCCTTGAGGTTAGGGACTGTGTTTTTGCCTTTATTTGTGTTCCTAGTGCTTAGCGCTCTGTTTGGTGCATAGTAAAGACTTAAATACTTGTTACCTGACTAGATGATTCAGGTGAGAGTGGATGATAATGGTAGAAAGGAGTCATTACTACTTTCATAAAGGGATTGTGGTCACAGTCTATTTCCCCCAAGTTTAGAATATGTCTTTGGCAAAATGTACAGTTGCAAACCTCTGGTACCACTATTGGTGGCTTGTTTTTAAAGTATATATTGTAGAACACTGGCCCTGGAGTCAGGAGGACCTGAGTTCAAATTCAGCCTTAGACACTTACTAGCTGTGTGACCTTGGGCAAGTCACTTAACCCCAGTTGCTTCCCCTTCTCCAATAAAGTATATCTTCTACAATACTTACTTTTCTAATGCCAAACAGAGATTCAAATATGATGGAACAAAAATCATTTTCTTGTCAGTTAGAATTCCATCCATTAGTTTCTTCACAACATCATCTGTCTCCAAAACAGGCCATAACCTTTAAAAAAATGGATTTTTATTGGCTAAAACAGAAATCTGAAAAAAAAAATCTTTTGCAAATAAGCTCCCTTACTGAATTTTTTTGAATATTAGCAGTTTGCTTTGTGTCCCTCTCATACTCTCTCCCCAACCCCAAGGACCACACTTTGCTTCTACGTACTTATTCTTTTACATGAAAAAATATGAAAAGTGTTAGATTTGTTCTACTTGGCCCTAGAAGAAAAGGTTTGGCCAATGGGTGGAGCATTGTGAAGCTAAACATATTACAAACATGTGTTTTAATTCATCTAACCTGGCACTTCACATGATGTACTCTGCACATAAGTTAAATAAATAAGGTGATAATATACAGCCTTCTCATACTCTTTTTCCAGTTTTAAACCAATCAGTTGTTCTATGTTCAGTTCTTACTGTTGCTTCTTGGCCCACATACAGGTTCATTAGGAGTCAAGTAAGATGACCTGGTACTCCCATCTCTTTGGGGACTTGCCACATTTTGTTGTGATCCCCACAGACAAAGGCTTTAGTGTAGTCAATGAAGAAGAAGTATATGTTTTTGGGAGCTCCCTTGTTCTCTCCATAATCCAGTAAATGTTGGCCATTTGGTCTCTAACTCTTTTGCCCCTTCAAAAACCAGCCTGCTCTTCTGGTAATTTTCAGTTCACATAGAACTGAAGCCTAGTTTGCAGAATCTTAAGCATAACCTTGCTGGTATATGAGATGAGAGCAATCGTTTGGTAATTTGAACATTCTTTGGCATCGCCTTTCTTTATGACTGGGATGTAAATTGATCTTTTCCAATCCAGTGGCCACTGTTGAATTTGCTGGCATATTGAATACAGTACTTTAACAGCATTGTCTTTTAGGATTTTAAATAACTCAGACAGAATTCTGTTATTTTCATTAGCCTTACTGTTAGCAACGCTTCCTAAGGCCCACTTGACTTCATTCTCTAGGATTTCTGGCTCCAGATCAGTAACCATCATGGTTATTAGTGATGTTAAGATCTATCTTATACAGTTCTCCTGTATATTCTTGCCACCTCTTCTTAATGTCTTCTATTTCTGTTGTCTTGTTAATTTTTGTCTTTTATCATGTCCATTTTTGCATGAAACATTCCCTTGATATCTCTAATTTTCTTTTTTCTTTTTTTCTTTTTTTGGTAAGGCAGTTGGGGTTACGTAACTTGCCCAGAGTCACACAGCCGGTGAGTGTTATGAGTCTGAGGTCATATTTGAATTCGGGTTCTCCTGACTCCAGGGACAGTGCTCTATCCACTGTGCCACCTAGCTGCCCCAATCTCTAATTTTCTTGAAGAGATCTCTTGCCTTTCCCATTCTATTATTTTTTTCTGTTAGCATTGCTCATGTAAGAAAACCTTCGTATTTCTCCTTGTTATTCTCTAGAATTCTGTATTCAGCTGGGTACAACTTTCCCTTTCTCCTTTCTCCTTTCTCCTTTCCTTTTTTCCTCAGCTATTTGTAAAGCCGCATGAGACCACCATTTTGTTTTCTTGCTCTTCCCTTTCTTTAGGATATTTTTTGATGCTGCCTCCTGCACAATAATTGTGAATCTCTGTCTACAGTCTTCTAGGTACTCTATCTACCAGATCTAATCCCTTAAATCTATTTTAAACCAACTCAACATTCTTTTCTAAAATAGTCTATGTATCTCCTATCTCTAACAATGTCAGTGCTTATAGGAAGGTGTTGACACAGATCGCCAGGATTCCATCTAACACCATGTAACATTTTTGTTTATAAAGTTAATAATACTTTAAAAAGTTAATAGATCTGAGTTCCAAGACTGTCTAGTTTAGAAGGAGTTGGTTGGCTTGATCTCAGTTAGATGTGGTGAAGAAGGTTGTACTTATTTTCAAGTCTATATCAATACTGTTTAAGGTTTGTCTCTTTCTATTAATAGACTAACCAACCAAAGCCATGCACCCTATTGTATGGGAATCTTGGACTGCCCTGGTTTTAGGCAAAAATTTGTTCTGTTTTCATTTCTCCCCATATAGCATTCCATCTTCCCAGCTTTTTGTCAAGGAAGGAACAGATCTGCAGTCAGACTGATCTACTATAGAGAAACCGTGGGTAAGTCACTTGCCTCTCTGGTTCTCTTTTTTTTCATCTGTAATATGAAGGAATTAGAGTAGAGGATTTCTAAGACCCTTTTAATTTTGATTCTAGTCTTTCAATAACCTACAGAAGAAATCCCAAGATAAATATAAGAAAGTACAAGGGGCTTAATTTGCCATTTCTTTCGGAAATATTTTCATTATAAAGGAGGACTTCAGGACAATTATCCCTTTCAATTCAATCAATTAATAATTTTAATTATTTATCAATTTAATTATTTAATTAATAATTTTAAAGTTCCTACTATGTGCCAGGGACTGTGATGGATGCCACGAGCACAGACAAAAATGAAACAAACAGTCCCTGCCCTCATGGGTCTAGTATCCTATCAACTAGTATTTATTAGTAGTGAAATGAAATGGTTCATAGAACCATGGAATTTCATAAGTGGAAGAAGCCTAGGTGGCCATTGGGTCTACCCTTATATAGACTCATCCTTGATCTTAGGGAGTTGATTGCGTTAATTAAGCAACTTGAATTACACAATTACACGCCAGATGATGGTTGGTGGGGGAAAGGCCATTATGGTGTCCTTCCCACACCATTCTGCTTATTTGTGAAGACTGAATATTACCTTAGATATCCAGGACCTAATTTGTCCCTGCTTCCTTGGTAGCTGATTGACCATTATTGCTAGTTTTTTAATGCTCTCTACTTTCTAACTACTACTTTTATCATAAGTGCCAAGAGATCCACTTAATTGGAACTTTACAAACTGAAAGCTCAAACTCAATATACCTTCAAAAAAAGCTGTTTCTCTTCACAGGCAAAGGAAGAAAAGCCTAGGGGCTGGAAAGCATTTTGTTTGGGTTTTTCATCTAAACCCTGAAGATTCATCATGGAACTGAATGCTAAGGCCACATGGTTAGAGACTTACAAACAACCGTCCAGACAGATGGCGGATGCTGGGAAGCTGAGAAGCTGCGGAATTGCAGGAGGGGACCTTCCAGGGTCAGTTTTGCAATGTGTAGCCCAGGCTAGAGACTGAGTTGTGTACATTGGTTAGTCTCCACTCCAGACAATCAAAGAACTAAGTTCCAGCAAGTGATCGATCATCTCTTAACAGCTACTCATTCATCTTTCCCTCCTTATGCCAGTGCTGGCTATATTTGGCACCATTTCTGACTTGTTTCTTACTTTACTGTGTTAATCTTTTATATTGACATTGTTTTACTTTTTAAAACCATTGTTTTAGTTTTTGCACGCATCTGTGGTGGAATCTGAATGTTATTTATTTATATTTTCTGAAATAGTCCTGGGATAGGAGGAAACATAGTGCCCAAGTGAGATTTATGCAGAAAGAAAGGAAATGCAGTGAGATTCCAGTGTCTGTCCAATGGTTAGAAGATATTTCTAATCTCTAAGCTTTTTATTATTCATTATTTTACTAATGAGTATTTTATTATTAATTACTTGATTAATAATTGAGAGTCTGTATTTTGTAAACTTTCCAAATAAGCAGAGGAAAGGATCTTTGCGACTCTGGGACATTGCTCCTAGCAAAAACTGTGACTTTATCTCTTTGGTCTCCTGTAGTCTGTATTGCTTTGAACAGGGTGGTTGGGGCAGTCTCTGCCTCTGAGAAAGGGGAAGAGAAGAGGAGAGAGTGGCATCTCTGTGCCAGTTCTGTGGGCATAGAGATAGACACAGTACTGTGTCCTTCCCTTTTCTTTTGCAGAGGGAAATGAGGAGCTAGCCCCAGCTGGCCAGCTCTGCCCCTCACTCAGAGGTCACATACACAATATAGTCAGATTGGTAGGTAAAATTGTGTTTTTTCCTCCAGTCTTTAGGGTTCTCTTAGCTTTGATCTGCATGAAAACTAGACTTCTTAAGTCCTATCCTGTACTCATCTGTCTTACTCACCTCGTGCTTGGGTTCTTGGTAAATCCAGTATTCACAAAAACAGGACAGAGACAAGAGGTCTTGATTCCGTTTTTTCCCAGGGCAGCAACTTCTGCTGTTAGGGCTCTGTGAAACCCAACAGCAGCAAATTTACTGGAACTACAAAAGAATTATGAATAATTATCATCTAATGGAAAGTATGAGGTGCTTTTCTTTATGAGAGTTCTACAGTATAAAGTGTTTATTTGTTTGGAAAATGAGCAGAATATTATATCCAACTTCACACATTCTTCTATATTGAGTTTTCTTAGATTATGAAAAAATTCATCTTAATTTAGATTCCTTACATGCTTAAAGAGAGTGAATACATAAAAGAAAATTGTAAAATTGGCCATTTCCCAGGGACAAATCATGACCATTGCTCACAGGCATAAACAATTTTTAAAAATATCGACTATAACAATGTTTAGCCAATCACTGATTGTCTTTACGATGTCTTTGAATTCAGTCTCTATAGCTTTAATTATTTTTTCTTACATAGGAAAAAAAATAAACGTGAGTGCAAAACTCTATGAAATCGATAGCTATACTGAAATACTTGTACTATACAATGGAAACAGTCCTGGCTTTGGAGTCGGAGGATCAGAGTTTCAATCCTGTCTCCCTTATTTAGGAGCGGGGTACCCTGGGCCAAGTCTCTTCATCTCTCCGGGGTTCAGTTTCCCCAGATGTAAAATAAGGAGAGTGAATTAGATGGTTTTTAGTGTCCTCCTAGCTCTAAAGTTATGACTCCATGGTACACATTTTCCTATCAGCATTTGCACCTAGCTTTGCAGTTTTCAATCTGGAAAAGCTACCACTTGGACTTCTTAATTTTGTCTCTAGTATGCCTGTAATATATTAACTCCTTTAAGAAAATAATAAAAAGAAAAAAGTTAGCTGCTTTTTACATGGGTAGTAAGGGAGAATGGATAAAATGCTGCATCTGCAGTCAAATCTAGTTCTGAAGATCTCTGGGGTCACGGGGTTCTTTAAGACTCAGTTTCCTCATGTGCAAAATATAGATGACACTACATATCTCACAGTGTTGTTGTGAGGAAAATGTGTTGTAAACTTTAAAGTTCTGCATAAATATGAGTTACCGTTCTTTAGAGGAGAAGAAAGGGAGAAATTCCTTTAAGTTTGTATTTTTTTTAAATATTGAAATAGTTGCATGTTTTACATCTCGGGGGGGAAAGGAGGTTCAGCACAACCACATTCATGTATTCCTGTGGTTGCATGACCTCTTTGTCTTTCTTTGGGCATAACTACATTATGTCTCTTAAGGAAAGCACAGAACATGGCCAAAAATATGGTGCTCAGGTACCCACTAAGCCGCTGACATGTACTTCCATTATCATAACACACTACAAGTGAGTAAACGTCTTGTCAAAATATTGACAAACTGACGCTATTTTTTTTAACCTGCAGCATGGCAGATGGTATAAGGCAGAGGGAAGAAACTGGGCTAGCTTTTGATAGAATTTTCAAAGTCGAGTTTCATATAAGTGGCATGGCGCTACAAGCCCTTTTTTAGTATTTTCTTCTGCAGATAGGCATTGGCACCATATTTGTTAGTCTAATGCCTACCTGGTTTAACATTATTATGTAAAGAGATGATAGAAAAATAAACAACAGTTCACACACCAAGTCATTTGAAACAAATACACACACAAAAATTCTCTTGCAAGAGATCTCCAGCTGGCTTGGCACACTGGCCCTGAGGCTATCACATGTAGGTAGTAGCCTTTCTGCTTCCAATGTTCTTTATTTCACTGTACATTACAGTTCAAAGTGCATTATTTATTTTCTTATGGTTATCTTTGACTGACCTCTGTGATTCAAATCCATACTGTTTCCAAATCTAAAAGCAGTTCAAATATGCATAACCACATCTTTTCTGGTTCAAGTAGATACATTACAAACTGTATTTGCTTTAGAGTTCTGAAAATACTAGGAAAGGGATGGAGTGTTTGAATAATCCATCAAAATAAGAAAATAGAAAAATGCCGTAATAGAAATCAATACATACCAATAAGGGATAAGATAAGGAATCACTCCATGTCCACATATGGATGCTACAGTGATAATGTGACCATGGTTTCTCTGCATCATAGAAGGCAGGAGCGCTTTAATAATCTTAAGAATAGTTCAAAGGGGAGAAAGAAGGAGAAATGGACATTATTTTCAATACATTGCTTTCAATCTTAGCCAAGAAAGATGCTAACAGGAATGAAGGAATCCTTCTTTCACAGGTCCGTATTTGTGGTTTATACATACCCAGAAGTGACCTAGAATGTTGACTTCAAATGTTTTGGTAATTTCCTCATCTTTGGTGCTCAGAAGATCAGCTGGGTAAACCGCTCCAGCATTATTCACCACGATGGTCACATCACCAATGTCATTCTTTATCTTTTAAATTTAAAGAACAGATTAATGTTGTATATCACAACACAACCCTGAAGGTTTCAGGTAGAGGTAAGCAAGGACTAAATTATTTCTTCAGTTTGCATTGTGAGGAAGCACAGCCCGCCCCACCCCCACTCCCAGCTTAAGCAGGAAGTATATTAATGTAAACATTCATTCATATATTCATTTATTCAATTCCTACTGTCTGCCAAATATTATGCTAGGCATTGGGGATACAAAGGAAAAAATATAGTCCCTGCCCTTAAGAAGCTTATAGTTATATTGAAAGAAAACAATATAGTTATTTGGGTGGGGGAGATAGGAGAAGAAATGGCATTTAAGATGAGCCTTGAAGGAAATTAAGGATGCTGTGGGACTGGAATAAGGAGGGAATATATGAGAGCTAGTCTGGTGAAGGCATGGAGCCAGGACATAGAATGATGTGTGCCAGAAACAATAAATAGGGAAAAAAGAAGGAGGATTTATAAGAGGATCTATAGGTAGCAGAAGATTCAGGATGAATCCACCAGCTTTTCAAGGACTAAGGGAAAAGGCCTCCTCTTTTCTTAAAATTATCCACCCAATGTCTGTTTATCCAGTAACCTGAATTTTGACTTAACTACAAAGAAGTCAGAGGTTAGCTAGAGACAGATTTAAATAGAAAATGAGGCAGAAAGTCCATCCCCTGCCTAAATATTAGGAACTTTCCTAACTGGGGGCCTGGAGCAATTTTGATTGAACTTATAACTTTTCATCTAAAAGAAATTCCTTCAAGATTCAGAGAAAGGAACCATGTCATCATATTGCCCCTGTGCTTAAAAACGAGCTAATCAATGTAACAGGGTGTTACATCTATCCAAACTTATTTTATAGAATGCTTGTCACCAAAGCTCAGGAGAGCTTTTTACAGATTAGCAGACATGAAAAATATTATGTCAGGGGCCCTGGAGTCAGGAGGACCTAAGTTCAAATCTGGCTTCAGACACATAACACTCACTACCTGTGTGACTAGGGGCAAGTCGCTTAACCCCAATTGCCACACACACAGATACAGACACAGACACAGACACACACATGCACACACACACACACACACACGAAAAAAGAAACGAAAGATATTATGTCATAACATAGTAATGTTATGTAACGCAGACTAGCTGAGTCGCTCTGGCCAAGTCATTTAATCCCTCAATGTTCTAGACAACACTCTAAGATTATAAATTGTGGATTAAGTACTCCAACTCGCATTTATCAAGGGAGTTTTCTCACCCAAGAATTTCCTCTATGAGTGAAATCCCTATCCATGGCCAATATGTACATAACGCTTTAAGTTTCCAAAGTGATATACATATATTATTTCTTGTGATCCCCACAATAGCCCTGTGAAGTTGGTCTTATTATTATCCTCATTATTTAGTTGAGCAAGCTAAGGCTGAATGGGTTAAGTGACTTGTCCAGGGTCACCCAGCTAGTGTCTGAGACAAGATTCAAAGGTAGGCAGGGATATGTTAGTAAAAATTTAACAACCAACTCTTCCTCCCTTCCTCCCCCATGTACACAGTACACACTTTTATGCATAATCTGCATTATTAACATTTTCACCATCATTTTCTCAAATCTAGACAATCAATCAATCAATAAATCTGATCTGTAGCATTTGCCAATTTGTAAATTGCAAGGGCTCACTCAGGCCCATCCCTGTACTTTGGTCTTGCTAACTCTAAGCCTAGCCCTCTATCCACTGTACCTTCTAGCCAATGCAATGCAAAACAGGAGTGCTTAAAAAAGAAATGGACCCAATAAAAAAAATTCCATTTTCTTTGGAATATATCTTGTCTCCAGCCAAGCTCCTGTGCACATTTAAGGTCAATAATAACATGACAGTGAGAGCCAGCTCAGTGTATTAGATAGAATATCTATGTATGTATATGTGTATGTGTGAGAATGTGTACGACCATGTATGTGTGTGTGTGTGTGTGTTTGCCTCTGTACCTGAGAGGCAAGTTCTTTGACCTTTTGATGTCCCGGGCAATTCTCTTACACCTATGAGAACAGCTGCATTAGTAGATAAAGTTTCCTCATTGGAAATTCCCCTTATACCAGTGAAAATCACAGCTCCAATAAAAACCAAACCAAACCATAATGCTTAGATAAGAGAGTATGCTATGTAGGCAGGGAGAAAACACTATCACAGAGCGCTACTTCAAGGCTGAGAATAATGCAAAAGGCTTTGGTCTAAATGTTTGAATCAGTCCTTTCTTTTCTCCAGGATCCCTTGTAATTGATTCATTAAGAGTTTGTGCGGAGAAGTACTTAGCCCTTACCTTGTCTATCATGCTATAAATTTCCTCTTTTTTGCTGCAGTCAACCACAAAAGCACGAGCCGTGGCCCCTAGTTTTCTGCATTCAGCAGCTGTTTCTTCAACACCGTGCTGCAAATGTAAAAAGAGATGGAAAGGGGAAAAGCAACAAACATTGATATAGCACCTATGGTATACCAGGCACTGCGCTAAACACTTTACAAATACAATCTTATTTTATCTTCACATCAACAACCATATGAGGCAAGGTGCTGTTATTATTCCCATTTTACAGTCAAAGAAACTGAGGCAAACAGAAGCTAAGTGACTTGCCCAGGGTCACACAGCTAGTAAGTGTCTGAGGCTGGATTTGAACTCAGGTCTTTCTCTATGCAAGTCTCTACTGTGCTACTCAGATAGAAGGTAAACTGCAATGATAGGGTTGGGAATAGAAACCAAGAGGGTTAGAACTGTTCACAGAATGTCTTCGTCCTTGAACTTAGTCTTTTGTATGTGACAGTAGTAGTTCTCATGTTTGTGGTTCAGGTGTTTTCAGTTGTGCTCAACTCTTAGTGAACCTATTTGGGGTTTCCTTGGCAAAGATACTAGAGCTGTTTGCCATTTCCTTCTCCAGCTCACTTTTTAACAGATGTGGAAACTGAGGTGAACAGGGTCAAATGACTTACCCACGGTTACATAGCTAGTAAATGTCTGAGGCCAGATATGAACTCCAGGCCTGGTGCTCTATCCACTGCACCTAGTTCTTATATAGAACCTTTTACTTAATTAATTACATTTGTTTGGGGGGAGGCAATGGGGTTAAGTGACTCGCTCAGGGTCACATAGCTAGTAAGTGCCTACGGTCAGATTTGAACTCAGTGTGTTGACCAATCAGAGTTGATCGGCACCCACTGAGAATATCTACTCTTTGAGAGGCATATAACTCTGTCCCTGAACCCCTAAACTGAGCCACTTCTGGACTGTAACTCCTACTCATGTGTGCTGCCAGCTTGTGAGAGAAATAAAACGTAGACACACAACCTAATCAGTTTGTTTCTTTCTTAGAACAAGCTATTTTTGGGGTCAACAGTTCTTTGACCCCTGGTTCTCTGCTAGTTATGCTTTCCCCTCTAAAATATCAAATAATGAAATAATATATCCAAATACTTATCAAATGTTGCATTTTTTTTCAATATTAAATTTTTTCTAATATTGCTCTAAAATTTTTGTCTTCCCTCCTCTTTGCCCCAGGAATATTTCATAGCCACAGGCCTCCCAGGACCAGCATTCATGGGTTCTTAGCAACGTGTTTAAAATTGAAAATTCATATTCAACAAACATTTATTAAATGCCTACTATAAGCCATGGCCAGGGCTAGGTGCTAGGTTTACAAAAACCTTAAGGAGCTTATATTCTATCAGGGGCCATACAACTTACATAAAGATAAAGAGAACACAACCAATTGGTGGTGAGGGTGAGATGGGAAATAGAGGAACGCTTTACCTAGAAAGTTGTCTCTGGGCTAAATCTAATCAGTTTGTCTAAAATGTAGAGTTTATGAAGGGGAATAATAAAAAATTAGTCTAGAAATATGGCAGTCAGACTGGGTAGGGTTTTAAAAGTCAGGCTGAATAGTGTGCATTTTACTCTGGAAACAACAGAAAACCTTAAACGGATTTCCCTCCTCTGTCATCTCCTCTCATTTATCCGCTATCTCTCCCTGTCTACTGGCTCATTTCCTTCTACCTACAAACATGTCCGTATCTCCCCCATACTCAAAAAACCCTCACTTGATCCTTCCATTTCTGCATTCATCCTAGGTTTCTTCTGTTCTTTGGAGCTAAACTCCTCAAAAAGGCCTTCTGCTATAGATGTCTTCACCTTCTACACACCCTCTAATTCAGTGAGACTGGCTGTTCTATGAACAAGACACTTCATTTCTCATCTCAGGGCATTTTCTGTGGCTGTGCCCCATGGGTAGTCTACTCTACCTCCTCTGCTCTGCCTACTGACCTCCCTGGCTTCCTTTAAGGCCAGTTAAATACCACCTTCTACAGGAAGCCTTCCCCAGCCCTTCTTAATTATTCCAATTTATCCTGTTTATGCCTTGCTTTGCTTATATTTGCTTACATATTGTCTGCTCCATTAGATTGTAAGCTCCTTGAGGTCAGGGGACCTCTTTTGCCCCTTTTTGCATCCCTAGCACTTAGCACAGTGCCTGGAACATAGTAGGCACTTAATAAATGTTTATTGATTGATTCAGATATTTTCCATGGTCAAATTAGTTTGGAAAATGCTGGTCTAGAATCTTTACCTACAGCAGTGCTATATATATATAGTCAGCTACTATACTCTCTAGACATCATTTATTTTGTTTTTCCTATAACTTTTTCCTTAAATTCATGCTGGAGATAGTTAGTTGAATAAGTAGTGGTTATAGTGCTGGGCCTGGAGTTTCAAATCCAGCCTCAGACACTTAGCTGTGTGATCCTGGGCAAGTCACTTAATTTCTGTTTGCCTCAGTTTCCTCATCTATAAAATAGGGATAATAATAGCACCTACTTCCCAGGGTTGTTATGAGGATCAAATGAAATAATCATTGTATAAAGCCTTAGCACAGCGCTTGGTACTAGTAAATGCTGTATAAATATTAGTAATTATTATCACATTATCTTCTGTGTTCATGTCACATTCATTTCCATACATATCCCTTCTTCCCACTTCCCCAGCCAACAAGCAATCTTTGTAACAAAGAATTTAAAATAAAAAAAAAAAATAAAGAGAAAAAAGCAGTTCAACAACTAACTTGCATGAAGATATCAGAGTCTGTCTGACAGGTATGCAGTATTCTGCACTCCGTTTTAAAATTTAATATTTTAATTAAAATACTTAATTTAATATTTTATTTGATATTTAAATTAAGTATTTAAAAATTTATTAATATTTTATTTTTTCCCCAGTTACATGTAAATTTTTAACATTCATTTAAAATTTTTTTGAGTTTCAAATCTCTCTCTCCTTCCTTCTCCTCCTCATTGAGAAGGCAAGCAATCTGACATAGGTTATACATGTACAATCATGTAAAACATATTTCCATGTTAGTCATGTTGTAATTTCTGTACTCCTAATCTCCCACCTTTGCAAAGAAGCAGAAGGCACATTTTCTCAATTTTTCTCTAGAGCCAAGCTAATTGGTCATTATATTTATACAGCATTCCTGTTCTCCTTTTGTTCTATGTATATTATTAGAGTTATTGGGCATATTATCTCCTGGCTCTGCTTACTTCATTCTGGATCAGTTTGTATAGCTTTTACCATAACTTTCAAGAATGACCTCTTGGAACTTTTTTTTTTTGGAGGCAATCAGGGTTAAGTGACTTGCTCAGGGTCTCACAGCTAGTAAGTATCAAGTGTCTGAGGTCAAATTTGAACTCAGCTCCTCCTGACTCCAGGGTTGGTGCTCTCCCCCCTGTACTACCTAGCTGGCCCTTGGAACTTTTTCAAAGACAGACTGGTGTTATAACTTCAAGAACATTCCTATAGGATGTGCCCAGTAAGGAGTAATGAAAGAAGTTTATCAAGTCTGGATAGAATCTGGATTTGAAGAAGAAGCAAACAATGCTCCCTATGCATTCATTAACTAAATAACTATGGATAATGAACTGAAACCATCATTAAAAAGAAATCACTGAATACACTGAAAGTACAGCTTTGTCCCGAGACCCTCCTGGTGATTTTTAGCTTAGAGTAAATATTTGGTTCCCTTCTCCTGATGAAACTGCCTTGGTCTTCTTTCAAGAATATTTCAGGAGATATGGTGCTTTTTCCAGGCCTTCCAATGGGGGAGACTTGCTTGGTACCTAACCCTGGATGGTTTTATTTATTGGAGAAGTAACGTTCCATGAAAACTATGCTGGTTTTATCCATGACCTTGGATGTTACAATGGTTTCCTTTAGCATTTTTGTGACCTCACTCGATTGGTTTGTAAGGCAGCCTTAGAAGGTGAACAAACTATCCCTATTTATAGGGTTACAATGTTAAGATCCCTGGTGAGTCAAAATCAAACCCTATAGAGATACTTTCCAGTCATGGAGCTAACCTTACCTCATTGCCTTTCCTTGGGATCACATACAAGTAGAACTGGTGTAAAGGTAAGCCTTTCAGGAAGCCACGGCTAATTGGACCCCATATGATCCAGTGGCTGTCCATTTACTTCCATAAGTCATGTCTGTGGGGGTTGGGAGTGGGAGGGTGGGGGAGAATCTGCTCTCAATCCATTTCACCTTCCTTGCTGCCCCTATATCCGTAATCAATTGTTAAGATGAACCTGAACTTTCATTAGGAAATCTGTCTCTAGATTACAAAATGGTCACTGAAATATGAAGTTGGTTTTACATGACAGGTCGAGTTTATCTTCAACCTTGACTACTCTTTCTGTGTTGTATTTACTCTGTGTATCACATCGCTTTCCCAAGGCAACACTTTGTATCACCAAAGGCAAGATGGGAATATGGCCCTCAGGCTGTAGGAGTAAAGGACCCAGCTGCAATAGAAAATCAAACATCTCCCACTGCTGCAAAATGTCTGAGAGTCAGGCATTATTCCAAATTGTAAGTCGCAGAATCTCGGGGTTCAGAGGGACTTCATGAAGCCATTTTATTTATTCTCCAGGCAGGAAGCTAACTACACAGCCCCTTCATGGTACAATACAATTTTTGCTTCTTATACAACTGAGACTTATAAAATTTAAAAATCTCTAAGAAAAATCTTGCTTTCCTAAAAGGACATATCTGGATAGGTATCTGGGATATTAGTTCTATTGACTATTTTTCATGGACAGAACCATGTTTTCCACTTCTCTTTCTTTCTTATTCCCTTTACCTCTCCATTCCCTGTCTCCTCTTTTTATTTGACTTACACTTTAACTATGTCTCTTTCTACACACACACACACACACACACACACACACACACACACACACACGGATGGCTTCTGCACATTTCTTGGTTTTTATCTTGCTGTCTTCTTAAGCTTCTTGAGGACAGACTCAATTAATCATTTTAATATTTATCAAAGCATGTCCAGTGAAGGTCTACCAGATACTTGTTAACTTATAATATGTCTTAGCTTAGAGAATTTTGTAATTACTTACTAGGAAAAACTGAAGATTAGCTTCCTAAAGTCAAAACTATAGAGTAACTTCTTTGAAGATTTTGTATTTTAAGATATATACCTAAAGAGAATGAGTGCTAACTGTATCAACAGAGACTATTCTTTCCTGGTTTGCCTAGTGTTTGGAAAATACACATAATCCTCTAGTGGTAGGCCTTTTTTTCTAAACAAATACTCAGAAGAGACTGAAGAGAAGACTTGTTTGCCTTGTGTGGGGCAGTGTTGTGTTGGTGGTGTTGGTGGTGTTGGTGGTGTTGGGGTGGGGGCTGGATGGTGGGGATTGGGAGTCAATAGATGGGGATTAAGAGGTGCAGGTTGTAGATTCTGAATGTTCCCCTCTGTCTCCTCTCCTTTGGTTAACATGAAAGTAAGGGAAGAGAAGCATATATGAAAAGGCAAATAAACTATATACCTTCCTTCCCTGTGTCAGGGCAAACTTGACCTTTGGGAAGGATTGTGTTTGTTAGAATTAATGATACCTTTGTTTATTGTTGCTTGTTATGACCAAGCTTTCTCCCTTTTTTTTAAAATAAAATTCGAAAGCTAGGTTATTTGTTCACAGGCATCTGGGTATAAGTGGAGAAAGGATTTAAAGTGATGTTGTTGACATAAGGCAGTGCTGGAGAGATTGTAGCCCCTAAGATTCCTCCATCTTCCCATTACATAGATTGTATAATGTGAGGGATTTTTAGTCTTAACAATGTAATTTACAATGAAAATTCAACTGATTCAAGGAAATCTGGCTCCTCTAGCATATTCTATGATTTCTCCTGAAATTCATATACATATGTTACAAAATATTTGATTACTATGCTTAATTCCATGCATCTCTGTTTGGGGCATACAAAGGCTCTGGTCTGTAAAGGAAAAAGAAATATGGGATGTTCAGAAGAAAATATGACTACAAAGAGGACTAATTTTTTTTTTAATTTAAACTGAGTTTCTCAATTTTAAAAGAAGTTCTTTATTAATTCCTTTGGACACCTATAAAATGATCTCCTACTTCATGATTTCACTGTAGGAATGCTTTTTAAAAATACTCATTTGGCAAATTAAAAAGAAAAGATAAAAATCCATGAAAAGTTAATGTACTAAGAAAAGCTCATAAAAAAGTACAAGGGACTTTTCTGAGAAATCTATCAGCATCTTAGCTAGTAAAAGATTGTATTAGAACACTTATTGACAAGCAGTTGCTTTCTCATGTCACAGAATTTTATGAAGGCTATCTGGCTACAATAAACATTTCTCAGCTCAGCCACAAATTTGTATTTAAAAAATATTTATTTTTAGTATTATTTTCTTTTTAAATTTTGAGTTCCAAATTTTCTCCCTCCTTTCCACCCCTCCCCAACCCACTGAGAAGGCAAGCAAAATGATATCAATTATACATGTGAAATCATGTAAAATGTATTTCCATCTTAGCCATATTGGAAAAAAAAGTGAGAAAATTATACTTTAATTAGCACACAGAATTCATCAGTTCTCTGTTTGGAGACGGACAGCATATTTTCATCATGAGTCCTTTAGAATTGTCTTGATCAGAGAAGCCAAGTCTTTCACAACTGATCATCATTACAACATTGCTCAGCTGTAAATTGCTTAATGAAAAAAGCTTTACGAAACAAAAAGAATTCTGGAATTCTAGGTACAAAATAATGACTTCATGCAACTCAGAAATTATGTTAACATGGCCATCTATAACTTCCCTACACAGCAAAGGAACAAGAAAGGGCCCTCCTCATCAACCTTTTACTCTTGAATACTAAGGACTTTAGGATTGTTTTCATTAAATTTAAAATATACAGGAACAGGACTTCAAACTCCTACTCCCAGTGTGACCCTGGATAAGTCACTTCACTCCTTTGGGGTTCACTTTCTTCATCTGTAAAAATGACCAAGGATTAGACTAACTTCTTTTTGTCAAGAACCCCTGGGGCAGTCTGATGGAGCCTATAGACCTCTTTTCAGAAATTTTTTTAATGCATTAAATAAAATACATAGAATGCCAAAGAAAACCAATACAATTGGTTTTGAAATACAATTATCAAAATATTTATAAAAAAAGACCGGATTAAGAGCACCTAAAGTAGGGTGGTCTCTGAGGTTCTTACCAGCTCTAAATAAATAATAAATAAATAAAATAAAATTAATAAAAAGACAGGAATGGGCTACCTCCAAGATTCTTGTAGATCAAAGATGAGGAAAACTAGGGATGGAAAGTAGCAGTTGCCAATGTGCAGTGAGAAGAAAATCAGAAGACATTTTTTATTGAGCCCAAAAGGCTCAATAAAATGCTCCTTTGATGACATTAAGAATCTTTTTTTTTTTAAGACCAGCAGACCTTGTTACAAGGCAAGTGCCACCAAAGACCGTGAGTCTAACAATATGAATGGCAACTCAAATCCAACACTAGTAACTGAAAATTCTCCACAGAGCTGAGATGATCTGAAGCTTAGTGGCATGATCCTTTTGAAGGGAGGAAGTATGCTTCTCTCTTCTTCTAGAAATACTGAACATAGAATGACCTGGATTTCCTCACATGTTGTGCTCTGTGAAAGGGAGGTTCAGTCGTCACTGTGGGGTCCCATACAGAGCTCTAAGGCTCTAAGACATCATGTAAAAGGGGAGAATATAGTACCAGAGAATTTACTTCCAAAGATGTTTCCCCAAGTTTTAAAACTGAGAATGCAAAAAAAAAAAAAAAAGGCTAAAACTCTCCTAGTTTCTATACAAGGTTCTCAGTTGGTAGAGGTAGAACATCTGACCATTACGTTGCTTTTTTTTTGCTTTTTGGTGAGGCAATTGGGGTTAAGTGACTTTCCCAGGGTCACACAGCTAGTAAGTGTCAAGTGTCTGAGGCTGGATCTGAACTCAGGTGTTCCTGACTCCAAGGCCAGAGCTCTATCCATTATGCCACCTAGCTGCCCCAGCTACGTTGCTTTTTAAGAAGTGTAAAGCACTTGACAGATACTCTCTCATGCTTTGATCCTCACCACAGTCATGCAATGTAAATGCTACAGATATTATCTTCATTTTATAGATGAGGAAATTGAGGCTGAAAAAGGTTTAATGACCTGCAGAGGGTAACATAGGCAGGAAATGTCTGAAATTGGATTCAAACCCAAGCCCTCTTGACTCTAAATCCAGTATTTTTGCCTTTGGGCCACACAAGTTGAGAAGTTGAAAGAAACAGAGATGTATTTCATTACCTTATTAATATCCCACAGAACCAGTTTGCTTTTGTGTTTGGCAAATTCACAGGCAGTGAGCCTCCCAATTCCATGACCAGCTCCTGTAATAAGTACAATTTCTCCACTGACAGACTTCCTTTTCACTGGAATAAATAGCTTCACCAAGGCCTCCAGGTAGGAATAGATGACAATGGCCACAAGTAGAAAGAGTTCGACGATGATGTTCATTGTTTTGATTGCAGTTCTCTCTCCTAACCTATTATTTTCCTTTAGTGGAGAGAGCCACGGAGAAAGGTGTTAAGGTTGGAGCTCCAGTTGTGTCCCAGGTATTAAAGGGGACAGGAGGGTGATATGCAAGGCCACAAGAGCAGGCTTTCTTCTCATGTTCTGTTGATTCTCTTGCAATAGACTCACTTGAAGTGGTGCCAGGTGCTGACAAACGCCTGCACAAAAGATGAGGAGTTAGCCTATTCGTGGCATTTGTTTGCAGAACAACTCTGAAAAAAACAAGTTTAAATTTTTTGAAAATAAATTTTTATTGATAATTTCTTACATTGCCAAAGTTATCCACATCCCATAGGACAAATATTTTTTTAGGGAGGAAAAAAAGTCAGCACCATTGATCAATACACTGAAAAAGTCGAAAAACACATGCAGTGGGCCATCCCTGGGGCACCTCCACAGAAGGGTGGGTTGGGAGAATCCTCTCATCTCTCTCCGTTTAAGTCCTTGCAGAACTATTCTAAAATGCCTGGTACAATTAGAGAATTATTAGATCCAGGGCAATTCTAGAAATACTACCTAAGTTAATGGAATTGGCTTTTCTTTCTCCCAGAAAAATGAACATTTGCATGAGAGAAAAGAAGAATATAGAAATAGGCTTTCAAAGGAATTTTAAAGAGAAAAAAGCTTAGGGGTTTCAATTTAAGAGTCCGACAAGTGAAACTCAATTAGCTGATGATTATTTCCATGACATGTTTTCAAAATTCATATCTCACCATGTAGAGGAACTGACCATGTAGTTCATAAACCGCAACTATCTGCTTACTTTTTTCCCTAAAATATCAGTTCTAAAACAATTGATTTATGCAGTAGGGAGTATAAAGCTCAGTAATGGGGGAAGTCTGGAGCCTTATTGAAAATATGAACAATCCAATTTATAACTCTTTAGTGATCAGGTAGAGATGTGTGAACATTTGAAATTCAAGAAGAGAAATCTATTAAATAGAGATTGTTCTCATAAATCTACAGAGCTTCAGACTTTATTCTCATTCTGTAGACAATTTTATTAACATAGTGGCTATTCATTTTGGTTTATATCTCCTTAATACACACTTAAATTCTAAAAGGGAGAAAGTTTGTTTTGATTTATTTACATCAACATAATTTAGCATCTTCAGAATTCATTTTTGTGATGTCTTATTGAGTATCATTTGAATTTATACATTGTTGAGTAAAGAAAATTTTGTTTAAAAACATTGATGTTTACATAATGCTTTAAAGTTTGCAAAACTCTACACATAGTTTCAACATTTGACTCTCAAAACAGCCTTGTAAGGTAAGTATTGTTATCATCATTTTAAAGAGGAGGAGGGGCAGCTAGGCGGTACAGTGGATAGAACACTGGTCCTGGATTCAGGAGGACCTGAGTTCAAAACTGGCCTCAGACACATAACACTAGCTGTGTGACCCTGGGCAAGTCACTTAACCCCATCACCTAGCCAAAAAAAAAAAAAAGAGGAGGAAACTGAGGCTCAGAGAAGTGAGCCTCATGCCCATGATCACAAAGCTTATAAGTATTAAAGGTAGAGTTTCAACTTAGGTCTTCCTGGCTCTGTCTTTGTTGACTCTAATTCTTGAGGACTAGAAGAAATTGAGAATTAATCCAGAGGATCAAATGAAATAATAATTGTAAATTATTTTGTAATGTAATGTAAACACAGTGCCTGGCACATAGTAGTTGCTAGTTAAGTGTTAGTTATGATGAAGATGATGATGATGATGATGATGATGATGACGATGTCTGGGTCATATAGTTTCTCAATATGGAATGAACACTGTACTAGAAAATATATAAATACTTGTCAACTTATCACGCTTGTCAGTTGGCCAAGTACAAAGACTTTCACAGTCAGACTCTTCTCAGATTTGGTGACCACTATAAAAATTTTGTGAAGAACTAAGCCATCATTACTGAGCCTCTAATGTTCTCACTTGTAGATATTTGGTGGAGAAGGATCAAAAGCAGAAAGGTGAGAAAGGACAGTCTGGCCTGACCCTTACAACACTATTTGGAGATCACTAGGAAGATAAATATGAACAGGCTTCCAGGACAAGGTCAGTTGCCTCACATCTTCACCTGTGTTGGTTTATGCAGATACAGTACAAGCAAGCTCTTTTTGTAACACCTTGATACTAATCTTTCGAGCAGTGTTACAGGAAGTGAGACCTGTTATTGTGTATACAAGTTAAAATTCTTGGCTTTGAAGAGGGTAGTAACCAAGAAGTTCAAAGACTGTGTTAAATACAGCCAGATTTCAAGTATGAAAAGATAATAACCCACTGTCACGTTTTGACCAGTGCTGTTGAATAATGTCTGCTAGAGATGGGTAGCAGCATTAGCCAAATATGAGTTTAGCTTACATCGTTGACCAGTGAAGACTAATGCAGATGCCCTTTTCCATGACCACATGAGTGTGAACTATGATAATACCCATTGAAAGGGTGAAAATGATATGTGACATATAGGGAGGCAGGCCTCCATCACAAGGAAGTGCAGTTGAAAGTTTAGAATGTCCACCAGAGAGAATATAATCAGTAGAGTAAATCCTGTAGCATTTGGAAAAAATCATCTCTGCTTCTGGTTGTCTTTGGATAGCTGGTAGCAGAAGTAAGAGCATGAAAAAAGGTGATGTGAAGTGATAAAGACCAAGAAGGGAGGGTGTGATCTTAGGGAACGCAAGTTTTGTCTTGTAGAGGGAACCCAGCTGTTTAGAAAATGGCAGAACCTGAAACTGTTTGATGGGCTGATGGACTGCTATACTGGACTGTCACTGATCTCACACATAGTATCAGGGAAGGGTTGGTGCTACTCCAGGCATTATGTTCTATCACCATGAAATCAAGATATGATGACTTTGAACACTTGGATCAAGAGAGAACATCTGAGTTAAACTGACTCTTCTTGTGCTGCTTACTCGTAATCCTGGCCAATTACTTGAATTCTAAACTCTTTGTTAAGGTAAAAGTCTGCTTCCAATGTGAAGAGTGTACTGTCCCAAGCTTCGGGGGTTTGTACAGCTGTTTTCAGAGGTATTTCTAGGGAACTATAAATTTTTGGTTCTTCCAAGGTGGTATGATAAGGGGCGAGGTGTTTCCTCTCCACCGCCACAACAAGCTCCACCACGCCAGCATTCCTCCTCACCCCAGGACCGCCCCTCAGAACTATGACTTAGATCCCAGCACCGGTAAAGCAAGAGATTTCTGCCTCAGCTCTGGCAAAGAGATCCCTGCAATCCCCCTCTGATCAGCTACTTGATTTCCCCTCAGTCTGTGGGCCGGAAGCTCAGGAAAAAGCCGGGGCCCCGGGCCGCGCTTGAGACTTGCTGCTGAGACCTAGCTCCTCTCTTACTGCATAGCTTTTCTCTTACCGCAGTCACAGACTTTTTCCACTGAACTTCCACGCTGTCTTTGGCCTTCAGGGGTTGAGAAGTCTGGAAACCGCCACAGCTGCCTATAATTCAGTCCTCTGAGGCCTGCTCCAGAGTCGCTGCAGCTTGTGCACCCACGCTGAACTGCACTCCTCTGCCCGCCCGGCGTGATACACCTTTCTGATCAACCATCCAGGCTGCCTTTGGCTGGAAATTTGTTTCACTCTGTCTTTTTGTGGGTTCTGCTGCTTTAGAATTTGTTTAAAGCCATTTTTTTAGGTATTTGGAGGGCTTTGGGAGAGAGCTCAAGACAGTCACTGCTTTCCCTCTGCCATCTTGGCTCCGCCCGACTAAGTTAATTAAAAATAGATTTTACTGGCCTAAGATAGCAGCAGATCTCTGTAAGTAGTGTAAGACCTGCACTCAATGTGTTCAGAGTAAACAGCTCCTAACTCATGCTTGCATATTTGAAGAGTATAAGTATTAGTGAATCACTAGAGTATGTGTATTTATAAAGTTTATCTCTGGAAGGAGGTAGGAAGAGCATGAATATTGCCCTAGTGACAAGACACCATTTCACCTGGTATGTCAAGTTGTACCCAACCAACATTGAGTGTATGGAGTGCTGGGCCTGGAGTCAGGAAGACTCATCTTCCTGAGTTCAAATCTGGTCTCAGACACTTACTTGATGTGTGACTCTGGTCAAGTTGATTAACCCTGTTTGTCTCAGTTTCCTCATCTGTAAAATGAGCTACAGAAGGAAATGGCAAACCACTCCAGAATCTTTGCTAAGAAAACCCCAAATGCGGTCATGAAGAATTGGATATGACTGAAACAACTGAACAATACCACCCAACCAAGAACAAGAAAACGTCTATAGTTGTTAAAGTATTGAAGGAGGAATATTTTTCAATGTATGGCTTCTCTTTCAGGAAATGTAGGACTACATCTTATACCTCAGCAAGATGCATACTGCTGAACATACTGGCGACTTGGAAGTCTGAGCCCAGTGCAATGTTTCTTACAGCAAGCCTACTGTCTGCATACAACAGTACCAATTATAATATCACAGATTTTATTCCACACTTACTGATAGTTGGACAGGAGCCATGGTTGCCTACTAATATGTGTCTTGGGGTCCCAGGGGAAGAGGACATAGAGATTCACTATGTGTATGTACTTTGCCTGAGGATTGGTAAAGGAAGTCTATCACTTAGGTATAGCCTTCCCTCAGAAAAGCTCTCATAGAAACAGAAAGCATGATGTAACATATATCATGTCAAGAAATTGATAGCATGATGCTTGAATTTGCTATCAAGAACTTAACTAAGACCATTCTAAGAAATCTTGGTATATAGGGAAAGTATATGAAAGTGAACCAATGGAAACTATCCCAGAGCAAGTAGTAAGATTGGACAACCTGTTAGTATATAAAGTAGCCCCAGAGAGTGTTTGGGACTTATTAGGACAACACATTGCATTTATTACTCATAGGAGAGTTAGTTGGATTCCCTGGTGCACAGGAGAATGATGGAATTAACCAAAGAGGTTCAAAAAAAGAGGAGCTCACTTACCAGATGTAGGTGGACTTTTAAATCTAGACAGTGATTTATGTCAGTGGGATCAAACTAAAATAGAAAACTGATCCCTGCAGGTAGCATACTGACTTGGAAAATCACAAATTAACATTATCAATGTTTTATTGGGTTTTTGTTTATTTTGTTAAGCACTTCCCAGTTACATTTTAAGCCTGAGTTTTGCAGCCGTATGTGGTCCGTAAGTTTGATACTTCTGATTTATGTGATCAAAACCAGAGAGGATTATGGGGCAGTCATATTGGGTAGAGTCAACTAGCATTTTTAAAAAAAAATATTTATTTTTAGTTTTCAACATTCACTTCCATAAGATTTTGAGTTTTAATTTTTCTCCTCCTCCTCCTCCTCCCTCCCCAAGACAGTATGTAATCTTATATAGGCTTTACCTATACATTAATATTACACATATTTTCACATTAGTCATGATGTATAGAAGAATTAGAACTAATGGGAGGAACCATGAGAAAGAAGAAGTAAAACAAAACGACAAGTGAAAAGGAGAGCAAATAGTATGCTTCCATCTGCATTCAGACTCCATGATTCTTTTTCTGGATGTGGATAGCATTTTCCATCATGAGTCTTTTGGAGTTGTCTTAGATCCTTGCATTGCTGAAAAGAGTTAAGTCTATCTAAGTCAGTCATTGCACAATGTGTCTGTTACTGTGTACAATGTTCTCCTTGTTCAGCTCATTTCACTCAGCATCAGTTCATATAAGTCTTTCCAGGTTTTTCTGAAGTCCACTTGCTCATCATTTTTTATAGCAAATAGTATTCCATTACATTCATATACCACAACCTGTTCAGCCATTCCCCAATTGCTGGGCATCCCCTCAATTTCCAATTCTTTGCCACCACAAAAAGAGCTACTATAAATATTTTTGTATATGTAGGTCTTTTTCCCATTTTTATGGTCTCTTTGGGATACAGACCTAGAAGTGGTATTGTTGAGTTAAGTATGCACAATTTTATAGCCCTTTGGGCATAGTTCCAAATTGCTCTCCAGAATGGCTGGATCAGTTCACAACTCCACCAACAATGCATTAGGGTTCCAATTTTCCCACATCTTCTCCAATATTTATCACTTTCCTGTTTTGTCGTGTTAGCCAATCTGATAGGTGTGATGTGGCAACTCAGAGTCATTTTGACTTGCATTTCTCTAATCAATAGCAATTTAGAGCATTTTTTCATATGACTACAGATAGCTTTAATTTCTTCCTCTGAAAACTGCCTGTTCATATCCTTTAACCATTTGTCAATTGGGGAATGACTTGTATTCTTATAAATTCGACTCAGTTCTCTATATATTTTAGAAATGAGGCACTTATCAGGGACACTGACTATAAAAATTGTTTCCTAGCTTTCTGCTTCCCTTCTAATCTTGATTACACTGGCTTTGCTTGTGCAAAACCTTTTTAATCTAATGTAATCAGTCATCCATTTTGTATTTTATAATGTTCTCTATCTCTTGTTTGGTCATAAATTCTCTTCTCCATAGATCTGATAGGCAAACTATTCCTTGCTCTCCTAGTTTGCTTATAGTATCAGTCTTTATATCTAAATCATGTACCCATTTTGACTTTATCTTGGTATAGTGTGTAAGATATTGGTTTATGCCTAGTTTCTGCCATACTATTTTCCAGTTTTCCCAGCAGTTTTTGTTAAATAGTGAGTTCTTATCCCAGAAGCTGGAGTCTTTGGATTTATCAAACAGTAGATTACTATAGTCATTGACTGTTGTGTCTTGTATACCTAACTTATTCCACTGATACACTACTCTATTTCTTAGCCAGTACCAACTAGTTTTGATGATTGCTGCTTTATAATACAATTTAAGATCTAGTACAGCTAGGTTACCTTCCCTTGCATTTCTTTTCATTAGTTCCCTTGATATTCTGGACCTTTTGTTCTTCCAGATGAATTTTGTTTTTGTTTTTTCTAGCTCTATAAAATAATTTTTTGGCAGTTTGATTGGTATGGCACTGAATAAGTAAATTAACTTGGGTAGAATTGTCATTTTTATCATATTATCTGGGCCCACCCATGAGCAACTGATCTTTTCCCAATTATTTAGATCTGACTTTATTTGTGTGAAAGGTGTTTTGTAATTGTGTTCATGTAGTTCCCAGTTTTGTTTTGGCAAGTAGACTCCCAAATATTTGATAATGTCTACAGTAACTTTAAAAGGAATTTCTCTTTCTAGCTCTTGCTGATGGCTTTGCTAGTAATATATAGAAATGCCGATGATTTACGTGGGTGTATTTTATATCCCGCAACTTTGTTAAATTTGTTTATTATTTCAAGTAATTTTTTTGCTTGATTCTCTAAGTATACCATTATATCATCTGCAAAGACTGATAGCTTTGTTTCTTCTTTGCCTATTCTAATTCCTTAAATTTCCTTTTCTTCTCTTATTGCTAAAGCTAACATTTCTAGTAGCATATTGAATAACAGCATTTATTGAGTACCTACTATGTGCCAGTCAGTGTGCTAAGCACTAGGGATGAAAAGAAAGGCAAAAATCTGTCTCTCCCCTCAAGGAGCTCACAATCTAATGAGAGAGATAACACACAAACAACTGTGTACAAACAAACTAAATACAGGATAAATTAGAGATAATCAAAAGGGAAGATACAACAATTAAAGGGGACTGGGGAAAGGCTTCCTATAGAAGGTGGGATTTTAGCTGAGACTTGAAGGAGTCGAGGAGAGCAGGGAGACAGAGATGAAGGAGAGCATTCCAGGCATGGAGGACAGCTCATGAAAATGCTCTGTCAGAAGACGGAAGCGTCTTGTCCAAAGAAAAGGAAGGAGACCGTTGTGGCTGTATTGTAGAGTACGTGGAATGCAACGAAGTCTAGGAATAGTGGAAAGGTAGAAGGGACCAGGTCATGGAGGGCTTTTAAAGCCAAACTGAGGATTTTATATTTGATCCCAGAGGTAAAAGGGAGCCCCTGGAGTTGATCATATAAAGTGATATGGCCGGACCACTTTAGGGAGATGACAGATGAATGGAGGAGGAACTGGAGTGGGGAGACGTAAGGCAAGGAGACCACCTTGCAGGTTATTGCAATAGTGTAGGTCTGAGGTGATGAGGGCCTGAACCAGCATGGTTGCAGCGTCAGAGGAGAGAAAGGGGTATAAATGAGAGATGTTGTGAAGGTAGAAATGATAGGATTTGACAACTGATTGGATATGGAGGTGGGGTATGAGAGAGTGAGGAGTGGAGGACGACACCTAAGTTATGGGCCTGGATAAATGCGAGCACTTGAAAGTAAAGAGGGAAAATTGGAAGACTGCGGGATGTGGGGGGAAAGAGAATGAGTTCAGCTTTGGATATATGTGTAGAAAGTCCGTGGGACATCCATTTCTAGATGTCCAGTAAGCAGTTGAAGATGTAAGTCAGAAGATCAAATTCTGCATTAGAAACTTTCCAACTCTGATTTAGGGCACCACTTAACTGCTTTGTGCCTCAGTTTCTTTATCTGTATAATCAAGCGAATGAACTTGATGGTCCCCAACATCTCTTTCACATCTAAATCTATCATCCTATGGTCTAGGTGGGAGGCCTAAGGGAAAAGAAGTCATCCATAGTGTTTGGAGACTGTGGTATTCAGCCTGGACCACTGACAAGCTCAGGAGTGGGTGCAAAGCTATTGGCTGATTGCAATAAAAGTGACAAGACTATTCATCTAGTAAAGATGAGGAACCATGGAAGAAGTGGTGATCTCTACCTTTTCTAAGGGTACTGTATTCTGCTTAGCATTCTACCTAAATGTTTAATTTCTTATCAGAGAATGACTGGGATGAGTTAGGATATGACTCATAATATTCACACACAAAGATGCCTTTGGAATGCATACATTACTGAGCCAGGAGGGATTGCAGATTTTTAGTGAAATCAGTGAATGGAAAACATAGCTTAAATGCTACATATATATATATACACACATACACACATATATATACACATAGATATAGATATATACACACACACTATATATATATATATATATATATATACATGCACCCACAAACATATATATACACACATACATACATATACATACACACATAGATCTAGATCTATATATGATAGGGGTCTGGTGGGCAAGACAGGGAGAATTTGATTATTCTCTGGAATATGTCAGGAAAACATATCCAGCTGTTAAAGTGTAGCATGTTAACATAACAGCAACAAAAAGTACAGCGTGTTATATGTACTTGTGAAACTTAACATTTCCTATATATTCTATTGACTCTCAATTCTATTGAGCTTAACAAAGAGTTGAAACTAATGTTATTATTCTCAACTTCCCATATCTTCAAACAAAATCCAGGATTGTAACCAAAATCTTCAACTACTTCTGTTAAGATTATTTGATGCAAAGATAGCAGATGCATTAGGACTTCACTGGACAAATCACAAAATATAAGCTCCTTGAGGAAAGGGGCTGTTTTTGCTTTCTTTTGGTATCTCCAATGCATAGTACAGTGCTTGGCACATAGTAAACACTTAATAACTGTTTGCTAACTGACATAAAATAAAACCAGACACTAAGTCCCCAGCCTTAAAATCTGAGTAACGATGGTCTTCTCTCTCCTGATAGCTTCCTTAAATAGCAGGTTATCAATTGTCAAGAGAGGTAGGTGAGCTCTTTTGGGTCATGCCAATTGCAGATCTCTGAGGGCCAATGTAAATCCTTGCATCCATTTTGCTGGTGTGGTTGTATATGTTTGGCATACTTTTGCAAGTGGGTTCTTTAAACAGAAATCTACCTAATTTGTCTTCTGTTTCACTTGTAGTGGTACTATTGCATTGCTTTCTTTTCTAAATGTAATTTCCTATCTAGGGAGCTTCTTTAATCCTGAAATTTTTTCTTTACAATTTCTTTACAATTTTTAAGAAAAATAGACTATTTTGAGTCAGACTCTATCCTGGAACATGGAAACACTAAAGAAAATATAGATACCAAAGATTTAGATTTAATTCCTTTATTATCATTATTCATAAATATGTTCCTTGCCTCAAGTCCAAAAGTTTATTGTTGAGATATTTCCATTTCAACAATACATCTATAATTCCTTAGTTTCATACCTGAGACAAAAAACTTGGTATTAGAATAGAGGATATTTCCCTCTTTTAAAAAAAAGTTCTATTGTCTTTTGTTTTTGCCCCAGTCATTTCCTCTTAACATCCCCATATTTTAAACCTCTTTGTAAAAAAAAAAAAAATGTTATATTTCAGAAAAAAAACTTAACAAATTGTCTGAATCACCATTTCTTGTTCCAAAGGAAGTTCTGTCTCCAAATGCCCCTACAGTCAACTTCACTCAGATAATGATACACTTCTATCTTTTGATTAGAGACATATTAAGATCTGGGTTCAAGCCCAACTTCTGACACATACTGCCTCCGTGACTTGGCTAGCCTTTCAGTGTTCCAGGAAACTCTTGAAGACTTTAAATTGAAGTACAGTTGCAGATCTGTATGGATACAGACATTTTCCTGACTAAGACTTCCCTATACTGTTGATATCACAGGTCTGGGTTAAAAAAAAAAAAAGTTCTGAACGATGTCATAGAGAAAAGGAGGAGTCATCTCTTCTAGAATGTTGAATTGTTAAAAAACTTACATGTAACTGAAGTATAAAAATTTGAGTGTGAGCTTTGAAGAGCTGTCATCAAAGGAGGTTGTAAGCTATTCTGCAGGTGGAATAGTTTGTGATACCAAGGTGCAAAAATGAGAGCATTCTCTCATCATTGGATATGACTGTCAGGGGGCAAATGAAAATTAGTATGGTTCAGGAAAAATTTGTTATTAGAGAAAGAGAATCACAAAAAATAGAAACACTCAAATCTTCAAGTCCTGGATAAGCTGCATCTGAATTACATCAAATAGTAGCCATTCTTCAGGAAGGAAGTATATCTTAATATATGACATGAAGTAATGATCTTCATGAAGGAAATGCTCCAAGGCATTTATTGTGCTTTGTTTTTTAATCCAATCACTGCATCAAACTTAACATTCATGATGCGTCTCATGGCATTCTGGAAACGTTCTGGAAGGAGTCTAAAAGAAAGACAATGCATGAAAGAATTTAAGAAATCAGTATTGGAGGTCTTGTAGGCAGTATCTGCATAACAACTGTCCTTACGTTTAGTTACATTTCAAAGATTCCTTCATGTTCAAGTCTCCATATTGTGTAGGATCAAGAACCTGAGTTTCAGCACATCCTCTGAACCAGACGACTGAGGTCCGTGTTCATCAAAGGGAGGCTGAACTGCTCTTTGGGACAAGAAGAGAGAAGCTTAAGTCTCCAGGTTTTAAAACTACATATATTAATGGTGGGAGAGGGGTAATTTGAAGTTTAATAAATGATATTTTCTAGGAAATACAGATTTATCTTTTCCCTCTTAAGAGCTTATGCAACTCATTTAATTTCTTTTAGACTGATGATTCATTGGTTAAGGGAACTCCCTGTGAAGTAATCCCCTCTATCACCATGTATTAGCAGCTATTCTGCAACTGACAGTTTAAGAGAGTTGCCTGAGACACTAGGAGGTCAAATGACTTGCTCGTAGCTGCAGAGACAGGATATATCAGAGGCAGCCCTTGAATTCAGGTCTTCCTGTCTCCAAGGTAAGAACTGTTCACTATGTCTTGCTGCCTCTTATGGAATACATTTAATTTCTTTAAAGCAGAACACTAGACCCTGAACACAGTAAGCATAAGGCTACTAATCTTGAAATTCATACTGAAACATACCAGGAAGTGATCAAATAAGAGGCATTGCTAAGTATGAATGCATATTAGTACCTGATCGTTTATTTGTTCAGAAAGAAGTCAAACAAGTAGATCACTCAGTTCAATAGCATATGGGGTATGAAAAGGTTTTGATCACACTGCATTTAGTTCATGAAATCATAGACTTCATCTAGTCCTACACCCTAGCTAAAGCATAAATTTCCTTGGTAATACCTCTGACAGGACATCCTCATCTTGAACCTTTCCACTCATATAAGTCTTCCCAGATTTCTCAGAAACTCTCTTTGTTCATTTCTTACAGCATAAAGGTATTCCTTTATAGTCATCTGCCATAATACATTCAGTCATTCCCCAAGTGATGGGCATGCCTGTTAGATTTCTGTTCTTTGGCACTACAAGAAAAGCTGCTATAAATGTTTTTTGTATACATGGGTGCTTTTCCTCTTTCACCTATTTTTTTGCAGTACAGACCTAGTAGTGGAATCATTGAGCCAAAGGGCATGCACAGTTTAGTAACTTTGGGTCATAGTTCCAAAATGCTCTCCAGAATGGCTGGACTATTATTCATTCCTCCAACAGTGAGTGCATCAATCTGCCTGTTTTCACTGCAGTTCCTCCAACATTTGTTATTTTCTTTTTCTTTTGTCAGTTTTGATAATTTGATGGGTATAGGGAAGAACAACAGAGCTGCTTTAATTTGCAATCACCAATAAATAAATAAATAAACTCATTTTAATTTAATTAGTGATTTACATTTTTCCACATAGCTATAGAAAGCTTAGATTTCTTCCCATGAGAGCTGCCAACTTTCAACCATTTATCATTCAGATAATGGCTCTTATTCTTTTTGAATCAGTTTCCTACATATTTGGGAAATGAAACCTTTATCAGACAAACAATGCAAATTTTTTTTTCCTAGTTAATTATTTCCTTTCTAATCTTAACTGTATTGGATTCGTGTGAAACCTTTAAAATTTCACGTAATCAATATTGTCCATTTTCTCTCCTATAATCCTCTCTTTCACTTTTTGGTCATGGATTTTCCTCCTCTTCATAGAAAATAATTTCTTTTTTCTTCTAATTTGTTTATGATGTATCTGGGTCATATAACCATTTGAAGTTTATATTAGTATATGGTGTAAAGTAATGATCTAAATCTAATTTCTGCCATACTGCTGTCCAGTTTTCACAACAGTTTTTGTCAAATAGTGAATCCTTAACCACTGGCTGGTACTGTAGGGTTTATCAAACATTATGTTAATATGTTTCTTTGCTTTTGTACATTGTATACCTAATCTGTTACCCTGGCCAGTGTATTTTTATAATCAATGCCAAAACTTTTTGATAATTACTGTGGCATATTTTTTCATTTCCGGTAGAGGTATATTAAAGTTCTCTTCTATTACAGTTTTCCTATTTCTATCTGTAATTCATTTAGCTTTTTCTTTCAGTATTTAGATACTATTCCATTAATGTATATATGTTAAGTATTAAAATTAATTCATTGTCCATGGTACTTTTCAGCAAAACTTAGAATACCCATTTACCTCTTTTAATTAAGTCTATTTTTGCTGTTGCCTTATCTGAAATCATGCTTGCTACCCTGGGTTTTTTGAGTCTAGTTAAGGCATAATAGATTTTGCTACAACATCTTATTTTAACTATGTGTTAGTCTTTATGATTCAAGTGTTTCTGCTAAGCAACATATCGTTGGATTTTGCTTTCCAATATATTTTCCTAACTTTTTTTGGTTTACATGAGTTAAAATCATTCAAACTCACAGTTATGATCATTAGTTGTGTATTTACATCCCTCTTATTTTCATACTATTTCCTCTTTGTTTCCCATCCCTTCTTTATTATCCTTTTTTTCTTTCCTTTTAACCACCTCTCCAAACAAAACAAAACAAAACAAAACTTTAGGGTTATTTTCCTTCTTACTAATCCCTCCTTGAATTACCCTTCCTCTTAGTCCCCCCCCCCCTTTCCCCTTTCTTATTCTCTCATTTCCATGTTGAGTTGAAAGTACTTCCATACCTAACTCTTATGTGTGTGTCTCCTACACTCTTCGGAGATGGAAGTGTGGTTCATGTAATATTTTCTCTACCTCTTCCATGTTTGTATAGACTTTTATCTATGCATCCTACAGAAAAGTTCCCCATCCTTCCTCTTCTCCCTTTCCCTAGTGTAGCCTTTCTCCCCTCCTTTCCTTTCTTCTTTAGACATCATCAAAACACAACAAAACTACTCCCAGGCCCTCTGTCTCATGTGACTCCCTCTGACCCCCTCATGACATTAGGGTTCTAAAGGGACTCTTGTATTATCCCCACCTCCACCAGGATGTAAACAGTTCATCCTCATAAAGTCTCTTCTGAATGTTCATTGTATTTACCTTTTTATGTTTCTCTGGACTTGTGGTTATATTTTAGTGTTTTTTATTCAACTCTATTCTTTTATTTGGAAATGCTTGGAAATACTCTATTTCAGTGAAGATCCATTTTTCACCCCCCTGCAGTATTTTACTCAGTTTTGTGAGCTAAGTTATTCTTGACCTATATCCTTGGCCTTCTGGAACCCTCTGTTTGTAATACTTCTGGGCATTTTTTTTTCATTTCATGAAATGATATCCAGGCTCTTTTTTTTTTTGCCATGGTTTTCAGGTAGTGCAATTATTAAATTATCTCTCCTCAATCTGTTTTATTGGTCAGTTGTTTATGACGTGAGATACTTTATATTTTCTTCTATTTTTTCAATATTGTGATTTTGTTTTAATATTTTTCCTCATCTTCTATAGTCATTATCTTGGATCCATTCTAATTTTTAAGCAGTCGGTTGCTTGTGTTCAGCTATTACTTCTCTTTCTAAGTTTCTCTTCCATCGCTCTTATTTGTTTTATATTTCTTTCCTCTATTGCTCTCATGATAAGTTTTTTTAAAAAAAAATTTAACTCTTGCATAATTTAATTTCTTCTAGGAATTCTAGTTGATCTTTGTTTTTCTTTGAGGCTTTGCTTATAAGTGTTTTGGAATTATTCTCTTCTGGGTTCATGTCTTAGGGCATCATGGACATTATAATACTTTGTTAATATATTTTTATTCATTTTTGGTGCTGAGATCATCTTACCTGGGAATAGCAGCTCCTTTCTGGATCTCAGTAACCTCATCAAGACCATTTCCTTTGACCTGGGGGGAGGGCCCTTCCTTTGTCTGGAGTCTGAGCTCCCCTCTCTTCCAGAGATTGGACAGAGTTGTGAGGGAACATTTTCTTTCCCTAGCTGCTGTCAGAGGTCCCCTCACCTCTAGGTTTTTGAGGCCCCTTTCTTCACCCTGATAGCTGAGTCTGAGGACCCTCCTCCTCCTGGATCTGGATCAGAGTGGCTGAGGTCAGAGGGCTGAGGTGTGCTGTGGTCAGGCGTTGAGTTATGTAGAAGCCCAGGGGTGGACAGACTGAGCTATACTGCTTTCTTTCACTTTGCCTTTAATTGGCTGGTCTTTAATTGCCAGAAAATTCTTATACTGAGTTGAAATCTGTCTTCTTGTTATTTCTATCCACTGACCTTAGTTCTGCCCTCTGGAGCTTAACACAATAGGTCTAATCCCTTTATTACTTAAAGTTGGTGGTAATGTATATTGTAGCATAATCGATAATAACAATAAAAAGGAATGCTGGATTAGGAACCTGGAGAGCCGGTTTTGAAATCCTGGCTTGGCCATTTACTGGTTGTCAAGTTACTCTGTCTCTATGGATCTCAGTTTCCTTCTCTGCAAAGTGAGAATATTGGACCAGATGATCTCTAAGACTTCCTTCTAATTCTAAATTATGCTCCTTTGACCTCTAAGATCCCCTATAACTATACATCCTATGACTATTTCCTCTTCTTTAGGCTAATTCCTTTAACCAATTTTCATACAGCATCGTTTTGGACTTTTGTACCAGATGGTCATTTTATCCCTTAAGATGGAAATAAGGCTGATTTGGCATTACTTTTCTTAGTGAGCCCAAACTGCCCTCTATTGATCACATCTCCTTTTTCTGTATGCTAAAAAATTATATCATTTTTCCAGGAATCCACAGCAATCTCAGTCATCTATGATGTTCCCCCTCCCACTCCCTTTTTGAAAATTGGGATTAAATTTTCCTACCTACAGTCTTCTAGAACCTTCTCAACTATTGCCGAAAGATGATGGAGAATGCAATCACATTTGTTTATAGTTCACTACTTATGATGGAATTCCTCTGAGCCTAGAGTCTTGAACTTGTGGGTAAAAAAACCTGCATTTGTGAGTCCGCCAGAGACCGAAAGTTCCTGAATTTTTAAATTGTTCCCCTAACCTCAGCCCAGGCCTGTGGGAGGGAGATTTCTTTAACAGCTTCTTCAGAGAAGAGGTCATCATAGAAGATCACCCTATAGGAAGAAGACTAAAGCAATGCCACGAGGGACCAAGAGTAGACACTACCTACTCTGTGAGTTGCTCAGATGGTGAAAGTATGAGGTGAATGAGGAGTATTTAGTCAGCAGCCCTACTAAGTGTTTTGAGGGTACTCTTAAGTATTTTAATGGGCTATTTGATAGCTTCATATTTCCATATTTGTTTACCGGCTCCAATGAATCCTTCAAATCTTAGTTATTTCTGTGATAGAGCAAATAAAGGCTGTCAGCCTTACTCATAGCTGGGACCATCAAGACAGGAGTCATTCCATGGAGAACCTGCTTGGGGTGATGAGCCAAACAAAGATATTGACTCCTTCGGGGTCAGCCTTCACTAGTCCATGGGTAACATAAGTATACTTTTGAAAATTAAGTTCATTATTAAGCTTATTAATTTTTAGTAATTTAATTCTAGTAAATTAATTCTAAATAAGACTTTAAACATTTAATTTTAAATCTGACACAAACATCTAAGTTTTCATTTCTAATGCTGATACAAGTATAAAAGATGCTTACCTTTCCAGCACTGATACAAAACTTAAGGAAGATGGAACAAAAATCATTTTCTGTTCAGTCAGTATGCCCTTCATAAGCTTGTCTACTACTTCTTCTGGCTCCAGGGTAGGTAAAAACCTGAAATTAAAAGGAAATCTTTATCCAGCCTCAGACACTTGACACTTTCTAGCTGTGTGACCCTGAGCAAGTCAGTTAACTCCATTGCCTAGCAAAAACAAAACAAAACAAAAAAAGGAAATCTTTAAAAACTGGTCATATTTCACTAAGACTTTAGGCTTAACTTGATGACAAATATAATAAAAAAATTACCAATATAACCAAAGATGTTGATTGTGCTATAGAAATAATGACAGAAGTTAAACATTTACTATACATTGGGATTTTACTTGATTTAATTTTTTAGAACTATTAATTCTGTATAACAAGAGAAGTTATTTTACAACTTTAATACAACTTTTGCTGTATTATTCCAAGATACACAACGTGTATATATGTATATATTCACACACATACATGTACACACACAAAATATATACATGTTTTATAATACCTGTATATGCACATACATGTACATACACAACATATATGTATATGTACATATGCACACACACATACACACACATATAAGTCTTATTATCACTGATGAGTACATTCTTCTTTCTGTCCCAGGTTTCATCTTGCATTATTTGAAAAACTTTTCCTGTTCACTTGGCACCAATTAAAGGATGATGACTACTAGGTCTTTCTTGGTCCCCAAGTTCAAGGATTTGCTACATACAATTTCTAATGACCTCTTCCTGCTTCTTCAAACACTGCCACCAATCCCAAATGCCCTGGTCTGATGTCCATCCCCTATACATTCTGGACCACAAGAATGAATTTTTTAAGGACTTGTCAGGGGAAAGACTATAAAAATTTTAAAGTAATATGCTAGGATAAAGCAATTAGAAATTTGAATAAAAGAAATTGTATTATTCTAGATTAGGTGATCCTTAAACTTCCTAAATATATTCAATCTATTTAATGTTCCTAAGTCTGGCCCATAATCCACACCAGTGAGTAATGGGTTCAGAAGAGAATTGTGCCATGTCTTAATATACCACTATCCAATGTTGGGATCTGCTTGCCTAGTCAGGGTGTTGCAAGATTGCACATTTTTTACCATATTACGCTGACTCTCAAACAATCAAAAAGTCAACTTACTTGAATGGAATGTTTGGGGGATTCCACCCATAGTACTATGCCATCACTTAGCTAACTAGATATCTTCCTCTAATCCAGAGGAAGTGAAGACATACCACTGGTATACTGTTCCAAATAGCTCAAAATATAAATAACAATGTCATACTCAGATTTCATTTAAAAATTCCTTACTGAAAGTTAGATACCATCACACAAATCTGAATTACTTCTGAGATGTCCTTATTCTACATGTTCTTAATACTTATACAGGTAAGGCTGCAGCAACCTGAACAACTGATTTCAAACTATTGTTCAATATCTACATTAGTCTATTGGGTGGGTCTAATAATAATGATAGCTAGGATTTAGACAGCTGTTTTGAGGCTGGTATAAAACGAGTGTGCTCAGCACCTGTGTTCTAGGTTTGATGTAATCTGATTCTGTTCTCCTCCCCTTCTGCTCTTTGACTCACCCAGAGACCAATCAAAAGTTCTTATCTTGTTTTCTTTCCTTTTAAACTGAACTATTCTTTGTGGTTAGAGTTTGTTTTGTTTAGGACTAATCCTTTCTTTAATCTACCCTCTTTTGTACCCCACCCCCTAACTTCTCTCCTTTCTCTCCAATAGAGTGAAATGCATTTTGGCCCTCAGCAGTGTGCGTGTATTCATCCTCTTTGACCAGTTCAGATGAAAGCCAGGTTCAAGTGTCAGACTGTTTCCCCACCCTTTTCTCCTTGTTTGTATGCTTTGTGCATATTTGGGATAACTTTCTCTCACTCCCAAGTCTTGGTATTCTTTTCCCCTCAGTGTTCCTTTCTCCCTCCTTTTCTTTTCTCCTTTTTAGATCATCAACAACACCGCCCCCCCCCCCAAAAAATCCACTACCAGATCCTCTGTCTCATGTGACTCCCTCTATGACCCTGGATTATTAGAGGATTCTGAGAGGATACATATGTCGTCTCCCCATATTAGAATATTAAATAGTTTATCTTTGCTTTTCCCCTTACAATGCTCAGTAATATTTACATATTTACAGAATATATAATTTACACAAAATGTTTACATAAAATAATTTTTCTCTTGACTTTTAAATTATATTTCAAAGTTTCTATTCAGCTCTGTTCTTTTCATCTGCAATGCCTGGACACATCCTTCATTTCATTAAAGGTCAATTTTTTTGCCATCTAAGAATATACTGTTTTGCTAGGTAAATTATTCTCAGTTGTAAGCCTTTATCTTTTGCCTTCTTGAATACTGTATTCCAAACTTTTTGCTCCTTTAAAATGGTAGATGCTTAATCTTGTGCAATTCTGACTGAGGTAGATTCTTTGATACCTGAATCCTTTTTTTCTAACTACTTGCAGTATCTTTTCTTTGACCAGAAGTTCATTTTGGAGTTTCTTTCAGGAGGTAACTGGTGATTTTTTTTTCTATTTCTACTTTGCCCTCTGGCTCTAAAAGATCCAGGAGGTTTTTTCTATGATGTTTTGAAATATGATGTCTAGGCTCTTTTTTTTTTTTTTTGTCCACAACTTTCAGGTAGTCTTGGCTTAAATTATCTTTACTTGATCTGTTTTTCCAGGTCAGTGATTTTGCTATAAGATACCTTAAACCTCCTTCTATTTTTTCAGTCTTCTGACTTTGTTTTAATATTTCTTGCTGTCTCTTGGAGTCACTAACTTCTATTTGATTCATTCTACTTTTCAAGAGGGTTGTTGCTCAGGTTATGTGTTTTGTACCTCTTGGGATAAGAGGCACAAAATTAATTTTCTTTCCAATTCTTTCTTCCACAGCTCTCATTTGACCGACCCCCAACTTTCCCCCTAGTTCTTTCATTTCCTTTTCAAGGATTTGCTACATACAATTTCTAATGACCTTTTCCTGCTTCTTCAAACACTGACACCAATCCCGGATACCCTGGTCTGATGTTGACCCCTTATACATTCTAGACCCCAAGAGTGCATTTTTAAGGACTTATCAGGGGAAAGATTGTAACAATTTTAAAGTAATATGCTAGGATAAAGCAATTAGAAATTCTAGTATTTTTCTAGTACTCTCATTTCATTTATAAAATCATTTTAACTCTTTAAAAAACTTCATCTCACTGAGTGAAGTGAGCAGAACATTGTGCATAGTAATAGTCATGTTGTACGATGACTAACTTTGATAGACTTAGACCCTCTCATCAATACAAGCACCTAAGACATCTCCAAAAGTCTCATGATAGAAAATGCTATCCGCATCCATAGAATGAACTATGGAGTTTGAATGCAGATTGAAGCATACTATTTGCTATTTTTTTTCTTCTGTTTTGTTTCCTCTTTCTAGTGGTTCCTCCTATTGGTTCTAATTCTTCCTTACAACATGACTAATGTGAAAATATGTTTAATAAGAATGTATATGTATAGCCTATATCAGATTGTGAGCTGTCTTGGGGAAGGGGGAGGGAGGGAGAGAAAAATTTAAAACTCAAAAGCTTATGGAAGTGATTGTTGATAAATCAAAATAAATTAATAAAAAATTAAAAAAAAACTTTATCTCTTCCACGAATGCTAGTTTAACTTGTTCTCAAGCTCTGTTCATTTTTGAGACTTTTCCTGCAGACATTTTGGAGTCATTCTGTTCTTCTAGGATTTTGTCTTGAACATCTCTGTTACCATAATAACACTTAATGGTGGGATTTTTTTTGGGGGGGGGGCTTATTCTCCAAGCCCTACTTCCTGATTTTAGACTTTGTGTTAGGGCCATGCTCTGGGCACCTCTGAAGGGATCATACTTGGTCTTCTTTTGTGTCTTCTTGTTTCTGGGTGTTGCTTCATCACAGCTCAGTCCAGGGACCTGCAAGCTCTTCTGATCTGAGCATTGTTGTGAGGGACTGTCTGATGTTGGCAACTATCAGGTGGGCGCTGTGGCAAGATTAGGGTAAGATCTGGGTATTTTTGGAAGTCGAGGCAGGGGCTGTGGTAGGCGGAGTCATGGTGAACTGGGATGGGCTGGGTACGGAGAAGCCCTGAGGCAGTGGGCAGTGCTATGTGAGATAAGCTGGGTGCAAGGAAGTAGCCGGAGCTTGTGCTCCTGAGGCAAGGGGCGGTGCCACGTGGGAGTGGGATGGCAGAGGACTGAGTTCCCTTTGCTTAGTCCCCTCCCTATATGCAACGTCAAACCCAGACGCCTCCATCCTGTGACCTTCCTGACTTCCTGGGTCCCTTTGTGTAGCACTGACCCCAGACGCCTCCTCCCAGTATCTGAGTCTGACTTCCTAGGTCACGTACTCTGTCTATGCACTAATCCCAGACGCCTCCTTCCTATATCCGGTCCTAGCCTCCTACGTCACTCCCTCCTCCTTGGTGTGCTAAACTCAGACAGCCCCTTCCGGTATCTGACCCTACAATCATTGGCTAGTAAGCGGGCTGGGGAGGAGGGGCTAAGTAGGTACTTAAGGACGAGCGTGGTCAGATCATGCTCTCTCTCTTGGCTCCTGCTCTGTTGCTCTGGCCTTGCTGCTTGGGCTTGCTGTGATGGCCTCTGAATAAAGCTCTGGTGTTGCCGATGGCTAATCTCTGTGTGTTTATCCGGCTGAGGACCGAAGACTCGAGAGTGAGTATGACTCTGGCAGCCTGCTCCTTATAGGAGGAGAGGGTCAGCACGGCCGGTACACATTGTAAGTTCCCAACCTGGGTTTGGGTCTGAGCAACACAATTGTGAGTTTACTCCTGGTTGAAACACTAGTAGATTATTTGGGGACTCAATCACTGTCTGCCAGATGGACAGCTCTGCAGGTTAAGAGTAAGAGAACTGCAGCTTCCTTTGGTCTGGCTTTCCTGCCCTAATTATTCTACTGTAGACTTTACAATGGGCTAAAAACTCAAAGTCAGGACCCTCCCCCAACCCCCATCCCCACTGCTGGGATCAGAGTCACACAGATGCTTCCTTCTTCTGTACTTGCTTCACACTCAGCACATAGTTTAGGGCCCACTACCACTACTTACCCTAGATCACCACCCATAGCCATAGGTCCTCTCCTCTGCCCCAGATCTGTTACCCAGCATTGGGTAGTGAGCTACAGAGCAGCCAGTTGACAACCTGTTCCTGCACAAGGTCAGGTACGTCTGCAATAGATATAGACCTCTTCTTGTCCTGGAGCATAGCCAGGGACAGGCTCAATCCCAGCACTGGAAGGCTCCATACAAGATGCCCTTGGCCGTACTTTATCCCTAAGATCCATAGACTTCAACGTCTGCCTCCCTATGCTAATCTGGGCTAAAAAATGATTTGTTTTGATTTGTTTTCCTTAGATTTCCTGATTAGGACTCAGTCTGGTACATATTCTAGATCTTCATGGAGGAGTTGTGGATGAGAGGTCAGTTGTACTATTTCCTTCAAACTCTACCATCTTAGCTAATCTTCAGTTGCTAAACTCTTCTTAGTTTCTATTTTAGGCAGTAATACTGATGATTTCTTGCTAATGTGACTAGTCCTCTACACAGAGGAAGGATATGGGACACGTATACAGAAACAGAATGATTGGTGAGTAACTACCAGGTGGCTCTGACAGCCACTTAATCCCATTTAGCGCTAAAGATCTGTAACTTGGGAGAGTCCCAAGCTCACCGGGCTAGTTTGTGCTTGATACAGATCCTAAGTAAGGGCTATTCTCTCTATGGTTCTCTGAGAGTCACTAATGTCCAGTTCTACCTCTTTCTATGGGGCAGTGCTAACTTGTTAGAGAGTTTATGGATTTGTGGATTTACCCAGAATTCAGCTCTTGACCCCTATTTACTGATAAATCCCATCTCCTTCTCTGAACTTGTTACATTTCAGTAAGTCCTAGTCATAATAGAAATGGCCCTCCAGAAAAGCTGGCAAGCACACACATTTGTTTAGCGTATAATTGATTAGAATATGGACAATATATAATAACTAGGAAACAATGCCTAGTAATAAAACATCTGTTGGTTGACCTGCCAGTCTCTCAGAGTGGTTAGGGAATGGAATAAGATATTATTTAGCTCCTATTATGTGCCAGGCATTGGCACAAATAATATTTACATAAATATTATGCCATTTAATTCTGTGAGATAGGTGCTATAATTATCCCCTTTTTTAGCTGAGGAAACTGAGGCAAACAGAAGGTAAGTGACTTGCCCAGGTCCACACAGCTAGTAGATTTTTAAGGTCACATTTGAACTCAGATCTCCTTGATTCTAGTTCTATCCATTTCACCGCTGAGCTGCCTCCAAACAGGCCTTGACACAATACGTGAGTTTTTTCAAACTTAGTAGTTCCAGGAAAGCCACAGTTTGACCATGTCTAGTTGCACTACCTGCCAAGGGGGCAAAGCTGTACACATTCAATTCTGACTCAGATAGCACAACCAATATTTATGTGAAAATACAGACATTTTGTAGGGACTGCACACCTGGGTCTCATGACAGATAATGATCTTGGTTCTGCTTGTCTTATCCTGTCGGGCCTTCTGACTTTGGCTGCAACTTTTGGCTACATTATGGAGTAGGGTGGGGCAGGCTCAGTGGCCGTCCGTCAAAAAGGAGGAGCCTGCCACCCCTAATGCTGTTCCTGGCATCCCTTTGACCCTAAGCCTGAGTTCCACACTCCTCTGCCACAGGCACCCTATAGCCTTTCCTGTGTCTACCTCCTTTCTTCTTCCCCAGCCTCAAGGCACCTACTGATCCAAGCAGCAGCGGAGAAGGACAGCTGAAGAGTGGGATAATTACAAGTCCATTGGCCACAGCCTGTGAAACCAAAAGGTTTGTTGTTTTTAAACCCTTGCATTTATCTTTATCTTATCAACTTATGATTCGTCTACTTTAATGTTTCAGAAATCTACTTACCCTAGATTGTTGCACTGTTATAAACATCAGCTCCTTTTCTCTGCCTCAATATAACACCTACAGGCATTAACTACCCTGGGATAGGGATGGTTGCATGGGACTGTTGCGTGTACTGCTTCATTTCTCAGAATCAGACTCAATATCATGAGATGGGGGGGGGGTGAAGCAGTCAGGACACATGTATCCTCAATACCTTTAATCCACAAGAGGTTTGAATACTATCAATAAACCCCACCTTTGTGAGACTCCATCTCTCCTGACTTTCTCCACCACACCATAGAAAGTTCTTCACCTTGGAAGCTCACTCCACCTCTGGACTTCACCCACTGGAAATCCTCACCATCTCTAAGCTCTCCCTCTTTCTCTCTCATTGGCTGCTTCTTCCCAGAACCTCCATTTTAAGAATGACTTTAGGCTAGGTCTCCAGGTTGCACACCTGACCCTGTACTTTCACTGACTACCCTCCTGTTTCCATCCTCCCTCTTTCAGCTTCTTTTTTTGTGTCGTCTTCCTTCACTACAATATAAACTCCTTGAGGTCAAGGACTGCTTTCTCTTCTGCTTGTATTTGTATTCCCAGTGCTTAGCACAGACCTTGGCACGTGGTTGGTTGGCTGTCGTCCTTCATTCTCAAAGAGGACCAAAATGGCATCACTACGCTAGAGTCGACTTACAGTGTGTCTGACTGTGGCTGATCAGAACAACATGAGGTTGGAATGTTCTACCACAGGTCAGGCACAAACAGTCTGTGTGAACATTTGGGGTGGATTATCTAAATTTGCATATCTCAAGTTTCCTTTGAGCTACTTCAATTCTGCTTTGCTCGCAGAGCACAGCACATTCTCTGACGTGGGCACGCGATGCTGAGTGGCACATAGTACATACTTAATAAATGCTTGCTGACTTTGAAATTCCAGACTAAACTGGCAGACTTATTGCCTATGATTTTTCCCATTCTTCTGGAATCTTCCCACCTTTGAGATACTTTAAAATAAATCTCTGAATTCTGTTTTGCTGCCTCCAGCATCGGTTTTTTCTGTACCTATTTGATTGGACCCTGATGTTCATCTTCATTTTCTATGGCACATTGGGGACTCTGTAGTCGAGTATAAATAAGAGGATTCCACTGTCATTCATAAAGATAATATAGACCACTATAGCAACATTGGTAGATACGTTCCATTTCCTTTCTTCAGGTTCATCTGTAACTGTTCTTACGCTAATCTGTCTTAGCCTGGCTTCGTGCCAAGCTTCCTTTAGATGCTTTTCTCCTCCACCGCTTTTTGTGGTCTTGTGACACAACACTGCTCAAAACTTTCCATTTACTTTTCCCCGTAATAGTTGAAAATGATCATGTTTTTAAACTGGTGCTGCCCTTGACTCTTACGTCTCTTTTCCTGGCAAAGAAATCAGGTGTTTCCTGGCTGAGACAGTTTCTTGACTCTGACGACTTTTTACGTTGCAATAATTTGTAATTCGGTGTAACTGCTCCATTTTCATTGTGTTTTGGCTAGAAATTGTCTGTATGAGGAGACCCTACTGGCTTTATAGACTTGTTAGCCAACCAGTATCTCTCCGTATCTTGGCTTAGAGTAACAATTAAGTTTTTCTAATCTTAAATTGTGAGTTGTGGGTTCTTTTAACTATGATAGTTTCTTTCTTGTTTTGATTCCAAACCAGAGTTTTTAATACATATATATTATATATTTCAATGCACACATTATACACATACACATGTACATAGTGTATACACACATGTAGTATGTGTGTAAATATATATATGTATACACACATATACATATGTGTGTGTGTGTGTGTGTGTGTGGTTACCATAAGAGGTAGTGTAGCATAATTGATAGTTATAGACTTGGAGTCAGGAAGGCCTACATTCAAATCTTGCCTCTGCAACTTATTAGCTGTGTGACCCTAACAGGTAAGCTATTAACCTCTCTATGTCTCAGGACAATCTATATCCAATAGCTCTCTCTTCCCTGACTCTGTAGAGGGCATCATGTAACTACAGGATTTCCAAGGAAGGGGAGGAAAAGGCCTGCCTTTCTCTACTCCAGCATCATGTTGACCACATGCACATGGCAGCTAGTATAGGCAAGCCTATACCTGGGTCCTTGACTGCCTTTTCCATTTTTGCCTTTATTTTTTCCCGATGTTAGATCAACAAACAAGCATTTATTAAGTGCTTACTATATGCCACATACTGTGCTAAATAAGTACTGGGGAAAGACAAAAACATTCTTTGCTCTCAAGGGGTTCACATTCTAATGGGTGAATGAATATCTAATCCCGAGATGGATATGTTCAAGCTTAGAGGTGACTTTGTGAATTCAAGAGGTTCATAGTTCCCATCAATGGAGGCAAGAAAAAGAGTTCCCAACAATTGCTTCAGCATTTTTGGAGAGGACAGTCACCAAGAAGAGTATTGGTCCAAATCTGGTCACTTCATGTGTAGACATTGACCAGGAATTGAACAGTGAAAAAGTTAAGGCAAAATGTAAAATTCCTAATTTAAAAAAAAAAAATTAAAAACCTGCTTTTTGTTCTGGTGAGATTTATGTATCAGCCTCCCACCTGATTACAAAATTAGTTACAAGTTGTTACTGAATCCTATTTTCAATTGTTCTGTTAATGCTTGCTGTGAGTAATTTTTGTGGCCTAGTGGATAGTGTTGGAGTTGGAGTCATTATGAGTTAAATTCAGATGCTGTCTCTGACACTAACCTCTCTGTGCCTCATTTTCTTTCTTTTTTTTTTTAGTGAGGCAATTGGGGTTAAGTGACTTGCCCAGGGTCACACAGCTAGTACGTGTCAAGTGTTTGGTCTGAGGCTGGATTTGAACTCAGGTCCTCCTGACTTCAGGGTCACTGCTCTATCCACTGCGCGCTTCCCCTGTGCCTCATTTTCTTAATCTCTACAATGAGAAGGTTGATCTTGATCCCCTCTAAAATCCCTTATAACTCTAAATCTGTTATCCTATGTTTAGCATTTCTTCTGTGTCTATACACAAAAGAATTACCTACGACCTATCCCATAACTGACTCACATTGTACAACTGAGTATCTTTTTAATCCTAGGTGTGAATCATAACTTAAGCTATAAGTACATTTTTTTTTTTTCTGGAGGCACTGGGCTATAGATTTAACAAGTCCAAGAATGTAAGAGGACCTGAGTTCAAATCTGGTCTTAGACATTTGACACACTGTGTGACCTTGAACAAATCACTTAATCCCAACTGTCTTACAGAGAAAGAGAAAGAGAGAGAGAAAGAGAGAGAGAAATAGCACCTCCTCCCCCACTCCATCTATTAGAAGCTAAATTTCTCAAGACTAAACTTAGTCCAAACTGCATACCTGGGTATAGAAAACTGACAGAGCACATAGAACCCAACTCCCTGTGTGGGCCTAGCAGCAGCTCCTTAGTGTTAGAAGAAAAAAAGGAAAGACAGTTGATTAATGTAGGCACTTGTCTCTGTTTTAAAGACTTGCAACATCATTTCTGTTAAGCAAATATGAGCTAAAATATTCTATATAATTTTATTACAATACAATTCTATGCTTTTCATCATATGGTTGGATTGTATGCCATTATCCTATATCAGAGATGGAACTTTGGCTGAAGCAAGTTATGAGAATCTATAATTATTGGAAAATATAAGAGATAAATGATTACAGTCAGCACTAGCCTGAGGTTAAGCTGTAAAAAATGTGTTCAGAAGACTTTTTCACAGTCAGCTCCCTATCCTTCCTTGCCTCCGTCGGGGCTTTAAGATCACTTGGGGTGGTGCTTGAGGATTAAGTGAGGTAATATATGTAAAACACTTTGCAAACCTTAAAGCACTAAAGAAATGATGCCACAATCATGCCATGTTATTGTTATTATTATTATTGCTTCAGTCTTTTTCTGGACTCCTGGTAAGCATTTCTTCACCCCTTCACCCATCTCCCTTTAGGGTTGGTTGTGATAATGGCACATTTCAGATAGAGCTTGCCCTATCTTTGATAAGGTCAAACATATTGTTTCTTTGCTTGAGAAATATTTCACCCAAATTGCTAAGAACTGAGGGAGGATGTAAGGAACAAACAGGGCTTAGAAATTAGATCCCGAACCTGCCATATACATGAGTGAGATAAGGAATTCAGCTTGGAACTCACGTGTGGTGTGAACTTTCATGTTCCAATGGGGAAGGAAGATAGGGTAAACAGATTCGCCTGTCACATGACATCCCCATCTGAGCTCTCTTTCTGCCCATGTTATCTGTGCTTCCACATGATACAAAACCCAAATCTTAGGGCAAGTTTCTCTAAAGTTTGCCTTGGATATTTGTTATCCATGAAGCTGATGGGCATAGCAACTTCCAGTTTATTTTTTCTTACCTTCTCTAAGTTTACACCTACCTGATACTTGGATTTTTGATGAAGCCTGTGTTTATGAAATTAGGGCAGAGACATGATGTTTTGATTCCATTTTTCTCTAAGGCAGCCATTTCTGCAGTAAGAGCTCGATGAAATCCAACAGCAGCAAACTTGCTTGAACTGATGAGGAAAATATATAAAAGGAACACATTTAACCTGGACATTTCTTCCAAATCCATTTCTGTGACATCCCATGCCCTTCTTAAAAACTAACAGTCACTACGTATAGTCTCTTCAGTTGTATAAATCATAACATCTGTGCCTTTTTATTTTATGCAAATTTTGTCTGCATTCTCCCAAAAATCTCTTCAAGGCACTCACCCTCAGAACCAGGGATTTTCCTCTAGATCTTCTGTCTCTGTCAGAATATCAGTGGGGCCCAAGCACTCTCCATGGGTTATCTGGCCCTCTTTGTACATGATTAGCCTATCTCCTTTTCTGATCATACATTTCCCTAACATGTGGTTTGTACCATTTCACCAACACAGTCTTTGACGGTGCCCATCATATAACTTTGGGTAACCTACAACTCCAGGTCTTCACAGATTATGATAGTCCATGATTCATAGTCAAATAATATCACTGTAAGAACACCAATACTCGAAAGATGAACCTTTGCTTCAAGAAGAACCAATTTATTTCAGGGTCTTAAAAAGAATGGCAAAGGCCATCCAACTTGCTCTTCTTGTTTTGTTTAATTCTGAGCCAAGTTCTTTGTCCAACTGAAGTATTTCTTCAAGAAAGATGGTCCATAAAGAGTGGCTATATGGGTAATCCATTCAATCTGGACAGTAGGCATTCTTTTTCCAATTAAGTTTTCCTGTGTGAATAATTGGGCTAAACTTTCCATCAACTATGGATCTCATTTAGGAACCCCTGCAATATTCTTTCACTTGATATAATTAGGATAATGTCAGCCACAAATAGAAACATCTGGAAAACTTCATCTCTATTTGTGCTCATCACTAGATATCTCCCATGACAATAGCAAATACCTACGTTATGTCTTGTTTCATACCAAGAATTAAATGATGACAGCCTTGTAAGTTGTTTTTGTTTTGTTTATAACAGAGTTAAATACATTTTTATATAATTTTGATTTTTTTATAGGAGATACTTTGTTGAAGGAGAGCTATTTATTTAAGGGCATATTTTGCTCCACTGAACCAAATAGTTATCAAAAAACACACTTTTTCATTAATTTATTTTGATTTATCTATAATCACTTCCACATGCTTTTGAGTTTAAAATTTTTCTCCCCCTTCCTCTGCACCACCCTCCCCAAGACGGTGCACAATCTGATATAGGCTACACATTTACATTCATATTAAACATAGTTTCATATTAGTGATGTTGTAAGTAAAAATTAAAACCAATAGGAGGAACCATCAGAAAGAGGAAACAAAACTCAACAGAAGAAAAAAAAAACAGCAATTCAACTTCCATAGTTCTTTCTTTAGATGTGTACAGCATTTTCCATCACAAGGCCTCTGGAAGTGTCTTAGATCCTTGTATTGCTGGGAAGGATTAAGTTTATCAATATTAGTCATCACACAACATGGCTGTTATTTTGTACAATGTTCTCTTGGTTCTGCTCACTTCACTCAGCATCAGACCATACAAAAAACACACTTCTTAATCACTTGTGCAACTGTACAATATGGTATGCTATGGATTATCATCTACAAAATCCTTCTCAAATGTTCGATAGGTTCCCTTTTCAAATGTTCATTAAGAATGCATTCAATTATTTTCATAAAAATTTTATGGAGATGGGAAAGTAGGACTATGGGTTGTTAGATATTTGAATTTTCTCATCCACTTTTTTTGAGTGATAATAAGACCTAAGATTTTTTCCAAGCATTTATTATCCTGAGTTATTCCAGTAATGTTGAGAATTGATCCTTCAATGCTGACTGGGTCAAAATTGTTTCACCTCTTCTTTGTATTCAGCAGCTCTTCAATTCATCTTTATTTTCTTGAGTATTATTTTTACTTCCTCATAAAACATATCAGGGACTGTAATATTAGAATCCAAATGTTGAGGATTCATTGTTATTAAGTTTATTATAAAAATCTTTTCCATTTTCATCTGTTCATTGTCTTTACAATTTCATCCTTAAATGACTTTGGGATGACCTGGATTAGTTGAATCTTTCACAAGTTTTCCACAAACTTGTTTTCCATTGCATTGTTTCTATTTAATGAGATGATACTGGAGGCAGCTAGGTGGTGCAGTGGATAGAGCACTTGCTCTGGTGTTAGGAGGTCTTGAGTTCAAATTTGGCCTCACTTACTAACTGTGTGACTCTGGGCAAGTCACTTAACTCTGACTGCCTCCAAAAAGAAAAATATGATAGCTCTTATCTTCTCTCTTCCATCTCTGTTAGATTTTACAAATGAGATGGTATTCTAAATCAATGTTAATCTAGATCTAAGCTAATTTATTAGCTAATAAGCCATTAGTTAATAAGCTAAATTAATCTAATCTAAGCAGTGTTTTCTGGATGAGGCAGTTTCTAAGCTCTTTTGATCTCCTCAGTGTGGTAACTGATTTCTATCTGCTAAACTTCTGTAGGAGAAAATGATACTCTGTATTGATGTATGTTGCTTTATCCATTTCTCTTTTTCTGCTTGTGCCATCAACAGCTTCTTTAAACTGGTTATGTTGGAACTGACTTAATTGTATGCAATATATAATTTGTCTTTTTATCTTGCTCTGTGATTGGCTATTTAGACAGCTTTTTAAAAAAACGACTGCCACAAAGAATTAGAAATTGAGGGTTGCCCATCAATTGGTGAATGGCTGAACAACTTGTGGTATGTGATTATGTAATACTATCATACTATAAGAAATGATGAGCAGAATGCTCTCAGAAAAACCTAGAAAGACTTGCATGGGCTGATGCAAAGTGAGATGTACTGTGTATAAAGTAACAGCAATATTGTAAGATGATTAGCTGTGAATGACTTTGCTATTCTCAGCAATACAATGGTCTAAGAAAACTCTGAAGGACTTAGAATGAAAAATGCTATCCATCCCCAGAGAAAGAACTGATGGTATCTTTATACAGATTAAAGCATATATATTTTTTGCTTTCTTTATTTTTCTTGAAGTTTTTTTTGTCTGTTTTCTTTCACAACATGACTATTATGGATATGTTTTGCATAACTACACATGTATAACCTATATTGAATTGCTTGCCTTCCCAATGAGGGGGTGGTGAGGGAAGAAGGGAGAGAATTTGGAACTCAAAGCTTTAAAAACAAATGTTAAAAATTGTTTTTACATGTAACTGGGGAAAAATAAAATACTAAATGAAGCATAAAAAAATTGACTGCCACATCATTAACTACCTGTTATATTAGAATATAATCAGATTCATTTTGAATTATGTTATTTGGTACTTGTCATCTTGAAGATGTATTCATCATATGAAAGTATGAGGCTTCTGTCTTTTCCTGGGATCATTTTTGCATTCAAGCCCTCAAATATCCATGGTGATTTAATTGGGAGGGCAATGACTCCTTCACAGAATTTCTCTACCTCATCATTATCTTCAATAAATGTTGGCACATAAGTTGCCGGTATAATGTGTGATGGTCTTTTTGGATCAATTTTAAACTCTTATGTTTGGCATTTAAAGCTCTTCATAGCATGGCCCCTTTGTACTTTTGCAGTCTTCTTACACATTACTTCCCTTCCTGCACTCCATGGGATAACCATGAGAACTTGATGGTACTAACATGAGTCTCTGTGTCTTGTTTCTGGCCAACTAGTCAGACATGAATCTCCATGTCTTGTTCACTGGCCAACTCCCACGCCTGGAAGAGTGCCTTCAACCCTTTGCCTCCCAGGGTCTCTGTTTCCTTCAAGACTCAACTCAAGGGCCACCTCCTAGAGCAAGGTTTTCCTGGTCCTTCCAGCTGCCCATGTCTTCCCTTCCGCCTGACATGTGAGTGTCTTGCTGTATTTTGGATACACATGTGCACATGGTCTCTTCATCGAGAATGTAAATTCCTTAAGGGCAGAGGCAGTCTTGCTTTTGTCTTAAGTACTCAGACATAAAGCCTGACACATAATAATCATTTAATAAATACTTGTTGATTGATTTGACTTGAGAGCTATTTGTCTAGAGGTAGATGGTTTACAGAGCACTGGATATGACATCGGGCAGACATGGGTTCAGATCCTATATCAGATGCTTATTGGCTGTGTGATACTGGACAAGTTTCTCAATCTCTCTGTGCTTCTGAAAGGTATAGACTCAGTAACCCTGTGGTCCCTTCTAGTTCTAAATCTATGATCTTAATATCCTACTATGAGTTCTGCAAGACAAGATAATCAAGAATTTCAGAAAATGATGCTTTTGCTTACTTTGGCTTCATGACAGAACCAGCTCTTTATTTGTCTGTCCCAGGAGGACCTGTGTGCTATCCTTCTATTCAACTATCATTTTCTTTCTGTCCTCTATTTCACTTAAAGTCTTAATATCAAGAGAACATGAATCATGTGCTCCAGTAGTATATCTATCTGATCACTGGACAAGAATTTTAGATTAATGTTTATAGATGCTTTAAAAACTGTGAAATTCTTAATCATGTTTCTGTCACTGCAGAAGCTCCATGGAGCTGCTCATAAGACTGAGGGCCATTTCATAATTTTATTTGTTTTACGGCCAAAGAATTCATCACTACGTGCCTAGCGTCCTGCTGATCAGTCTCTCATACTTAACTAGATTAGGACTTGGAAAGCAGATTGTATCTGTTGGCAGGACTATACTTCACCAACCTTTCAAGCATGGCAGACTTTTAAGGAACCTGTTCTCTCCTGGCAGAGCCTTCTACAACCCAAGGTTACCTTGATGTCTTGATAAAGCAACATAATAAGACTCTGGATGAACTATTTAAAAATTACTTTAAAGCTTACAACGAAAACAATTTACTAAGGCGGCCGTTTTGAAGGCCAGAACTATAGCCAGGTTCTATGACAATGGCATCATTGCCCTAGGGATGACCTAGAGCCATATTATAATTGTCAGAGGAAGTTACTATTTACTCCAGTACATTCACTAAACTTAGCTTCCATTAATGCTGATGACATATTAGTGATCCTGGGTTCTTAAAAACTGTTAGTGGAATGCAATTTCTGGAAGGCCTTGCCCCGGTAGGAAATCACTGAATATAGGCCCAGTGACGGATCATCTGGGACCCAGCCTAGCTATGTTCGGCTACCAGGTTATGTTTTGTTCAACCATATCAGCTCATGAAACTGTCTACTAAGATATGAGGAGATTATGATCTCCCATCAATAGGGGTATCCACAATGACAGAATCATGGCTCTTCTGAAGTACCAAGCAAGGTAGGAATCAAAGAATGGTATAACTATAGGAATATATCCACTGTTATAAAGTACTTTGGAGACTAAAGCTTAAAGTGGTGCTTCACAGGGTCTAGGATTTGATGTCTTTTTCTTGTGTGTACAATGGAGAAATGTGGGAATGATGTCCCTCAGTCTTCAAAGCCCTGCTAGAAGCAAATTCCATAGAATAACATAATTGCAAAGAAACACAGGAAAAGCACTGCCATCCATTTGGGAGGATAATGAAGATATTACATCTTGGTTTTTTTTTTCCCTGCTCAAGTCAAGTATTTCCTAGGCTGAATCACTATCAGGGAGGGGATACAGAGTACCTATCAAAAGGGGCTCAACACAGACTCACTGATTCCAAACTTGGGAACTCTTCAATGTAGGAGGCTCACTGGGGGGTGTTTAGAAGGCTAAGAGAATTGTACCCTTTAGCCAGTGACCCAGTTATAACTTTATCTCTTCCAGTGGCCCCTCCTCAATCTCTGTGTCTTTGTTTCAGCAGGCTGAGGGTCGATTCAAGTACATCACAACTTGATCAAAAACTTCCCAGTATTTTCAGATTATAATTGGAAGTGCCTCCTTAGCAAAGGAGGTTGCGTTGGCTTAGGGAATGTGTACTTCCTACTCTCTTAGTGAGCTTCCTGCAGTTTTCAATTCTTGCCATTGAGTCAGAATGTTAATTCCTGCAACAAAGGGAAAGCAGGGAGCATGAGCCTAATCCCTAGCCTTACATTTGGTTATTCTTTTATTCCTAACAGCCATAGTGTAGCTGATAGAGAGATGGTCTTGTCATTCAAGGGAGCAGGGAGAACTACCCCATTATGCTCCATTCACCACTTTCGGTCCTGAATACTTCTCTGCAGCGGTATACACTGGAATGCACACTGGAATGCAGGAGATCCACAATCTGTACCCTATATGTTTACTCAATGGCTCACTTCACCAGGACTTTCTTGGGAGCCAGGAACAATGTTCACGGTATAAGCATCCACCTGCTTCTTGCGATTCATCCATGTTGCAAGGGATGAGAAATATTATGAGATCTGACTGATTTGGAAATGCATTATTCCCCTTTCACACATCACTAGGATTCTACTAGGGAAACCGGGTTTACACATACATAATACCCATGATAAAAATGACTTCATGTGATTGTCACTTTTCCAAGTTACCTATCTCATAACCATTAACAGTAAAGATACTTTGTTAACTAATTGGGGAAACAACATATAGTAAACAAGAAACAAAACAAGAATGAGAAAAATAAGTTACTATCATACCAATAAGCCAATAAGAAGGGGACCACCGTATATCCTGCAGCTGAAGCCACTGTTACAATATGACCATGATTCTTCTTCATCATTGCAGGGAGGAATGCTTTTGTAGTCTTGAAAAAGTGTGGTCAGTTTTTTTTTTAAAGGAAAAAAAATATGTTGTTATTATCTATTCATAACATGCTTGTAGAGATTTGAAAAATTATTATTTTCATAATTTGACAATTATGCTAAATAAAATTGAATGATAAAGCTTGGTTAGACTTGCTTAGCCTGTGTAGTGTAAAAAATAACAACATAAGAAAATCTTATATGAAAAATTAAACAACATAAGAAAATCTAAAAAAAATCTGAGCATCTATCTTACTTCTACCTCCAACTTTGATTTGCCTTCCCTGTACGTCAGTTTCCTCATGTAAAAATGGATCTACCTAGAATTGTTATTGAAATTATTTTTTAAAATTTCAAATATTTCTTTTTAGTAAAGCTTAACTCACTGTGGCACTATTAGAGGGTGGCAGGTAAAGGGGGATTAAAAAGTAAACCTAACATCTTATACCTAGGTTCAAAAAATCAACTTCAGAAGTACAAGCTAGAGAGGCCAAAGTTTGTCTAAAAAAGATCCAGTGAGAAAAAGAAGAGTCTCACATAAACCAAATATTTACAGCAGAACTCTCAGCAGTAACAAAGAAGCAAAGTAGATGCCCATTGATTGAAGAATAGTTAAAGAAATTGTGGTACATAGATGAAATGGAATATCAGTGTGCTATGATAAATGATGAATACAAAGTGGCATGGGGAGGACTTGGGTGAATAAAGTATGCAAAGTGAAATATGAAGAGCCAGGAAAGCAATATGACTACAATAATACACATGGAAAGAACCCAAACCAAAACCTCAAAAATAAATACTGTGAAAATATAATAAGTAAACTTAGCCCCAAAGAAGAGATACGAGAATGCTTCTCTCTCCCTTCTTTGCAGGCACAGGTGACCATTATGGGTGTTGAATATGGCACGTAATGGGTAATGTGTTCATTAATTTTGCTAAATTGTTTTTTCCTCCTCTTTTTTACTCTTTTAAGAAGGATAACTGACTCTCTTTGTGGGAAATGCAGGTGATATTAGAAACAAAAGATTAAAAAATTTAAATAACAAATGAAAAGATTTGGGGATATCAGATGAAACAAAGAATTTTGAGTATAAGATATAAAAAGTTTTGTGCAAACAAATAACCTGTAACTAAAATTAGAGGGGAAACAGATAATTGGGAAAAATCTTTGCAGTAAGTTTCTCTGCTAAGGGTTCCATATTCAAGATATAGAAGGAATATAAATATATAAATATATAAATTTATAAAGAGTGTTTATTTACTTTCTTTTTTAATTCCCTCCCTCCTTCCCCCACCTGACCTCTACCTTTACCTCTTGCTTTCTGGTCTGAGGAGAACCTTACAAGACTTGAAGAGTGTTATGAATTTTGGACTTCCCATCTTCCCATTGTTTTCCTAGTGGCATACACTCATCAACTGAAAGCATCATGTTTTGAGAGCCAAGGACATCATTCATGGCTCCATATGGAGCTCAGCAAAGAAACTACATCATGTCTAAGGGGAACTTCCAGCAGCTAGGAAATATGAATCATCTCTTTGCCATATGTGTTCTCCAAAGCTGAGCCTACTTTTCTTTGGACTCTGTACTTGTGAGAGAGCCAAAGATTTGGGTTTTTTTGGGGGGTGGGGTGGGGCTGGACAGGAGGAAGAGGATATTTTGTAACAACTGCTTTTACTATACTACTTTAGTAAATGATCCTTTTCTAAAAGCTATTTAAAGCACACCTAGGTTTAAAAAACCTAGTCAGGCCTCACTCAGGGTCTTTGGTCATTGACCCAATTGATTGGTTACTGATAGCCTAACTAATAAATTGATCAAGCTGGGGCAGGGAGCTACTTAAGGCTGAATGACTAAATTGGTTCTCAACTGCTAATCATAGGAGGAAGCACACGAGTAGGGCTTCATGAACTTCAGTACTAGAAAGCTAATCTCTAGAAAAGTTACCCCTAGAACCCTGAGAGGAAGAGGTAGGTCTCCTTGCTCTGGGGGGCCCTTGATTCAGTGAGAATGGTAGTTGAGATAAACACCTCAAAGCACGTGATATATTTATATTTACTTATCTGTGTGTATGGTGGAGGGAAACTTCAATAGAATGTAAGCTCTTTGGGCATAAGGACTCTTTACTGTTGTTTTCATCTCTCCAGTCCTTATAGAAATTTTGCCTAGGGTCACAGAACTAATAAGTGTCTGAGGCCAGATTTCAACTCAGAAAGTTGAGTCTTCCTGACTCCTGGCCCTGTAGTCTATCCACTGTGCCACCTCATCTTAAAACAAAGTCAATCGCAAGTCATGTCATCATCTCCTTGATGTCATGGTCCTCTTTAAGAACAAAGGACAAACACAACAACTCTACAGAAATTTAGCATTAAGTAGCTAGCACACATTGCCTGGAATTCACTGAACTCCTAAAGTGTGTCTGTATTGAACTGAAGGGAATCCTGACTGTGTACTCAGCCCTGTTACTCTGTCCTGACTAGATTCTGTTCTCTTTCTAAAATGCCCCTCTAAGTCTGGCCTTCAGCCAATTTCAAAGGAAACGATTTTACAAAATAAATTGTACTTACCCAGAAGTGGGCCAGAACATTGACTTCAAATGTTTTTTCGATCTGAGGGTCTTGAGTGGCAAATAAATCTGCTGAGTAGACTACACCTGCATTATTTACTAAGATGCTAACATCTCCTACTTCGGTTTTCACCTTTTAAAATAAAGGAAATAAAAATGTTATTAAACATTTGCTATTAAACATAGGCTTAGATATAGTGATTGGCAAAACTACCTCTAGAATATATTTTCCTTCCAGATGTAAAAAATTACTAGGTTTAGGAGACTACCTTTTATTTTGTGTGACTATGTTTATTTGTTACAAGGTTCCCCCACTTCCCTGCAATGTTTTAATCTGGCAGAGATGTTTAGAGGAGAAAGGAGGTGAGCCATAGTGGTGCCATGAAAAAGAGGGCTATTGGGGCATTTTTTAAAATGCAAAGAAGAAAGTTTAGCAGGAAACACAGATAAGCAGGGCAGTTCTGAAAGTAACATGTGAAAGGCATTATAAAATTTTTAAAAATCAAGCTGTGTGAAGTGGTGACTAATGGTTTCATACAAAATCCTCTTTTTGCATTCTGATGTGTATATGAAAATGCTTGATATTTTTGGTGTTTAAATTTGGAGACAAAATTATTTTAAAAATTAGAAATTAAAAGATGTGTACAGAAGATACAAGCAAGGATAGGTAACAGAGGACGAACATATAAATATGGCACAGTTGTATAAGAATAAATTTGGAAGCCCTGCAGCTCACAGTGTACCAAAAATGGTGAGGGAAACTGAGGACAACAAAAAGAGGGTTTGCTTTTTGTTTTTTTTTTTCTTTATTATGGGAAAGGAGAGAGAAAAAGAAGGACTAGGACACTTGTGGCTGGTTTCTTGGGGTGGTCAGGATGATGACAACAGAGATAGGGCTCAGTTGCTCAGTTTTTAGTCAGCTTCCAATTTCTCTTTCAAGGGAAATGAGCTGCACATGGAAGTGATAGATTGAAAATGGCCAAAAGGGAGTTCACAGCATAGACAAGTAAGGAAAGCACTGAGTGGTTCATGATGAATCCAAGTCACCTGGACCAGATGAACTCTACCTTTTGGTATTGAAAACAAAACCAAACCAAACTGGAGGATGGGGTTGCTAAGCCATTGTCGGTGACAGTCGAAAGATAAGGAAAATAGGAGATGCACTGCAGGGTTGGTAACAGATGTCCTCCACTTATCAAAACAGAGAAGAGAACACAGTTTGCAAACCACAGACCTGATGAATTTGAATTTGATTGATGGCAAAATTCTAGAATGGATCATTTATGAGATAGTGAACATCTAACAAAGAGAAGGATGATTTAAAAGACCTAGCCCAGCTTTATCAAAGGCAGGCTGTGCCAGACTTATCTTTTCCCTTTTTTAAAAAGGATCAAAAAACTGGTAGATCAAAGTAATGCTGTGGATGCATGAGATTTTAGTAAAGCATTTGAGATACTTCAATATCTCGTATTATTCTTGTGGAAAAGATGGAGAGAGACGTGGACCAGATACAGACTAGTCATTAAGAGTTTGACGTAGGGGCAGCTAGGCGGCGCAGTGGATGGAGCTCTGGCCTGGAAATCAGGAGGACATGAGTTCAAATCCAGTCTCAGACACATGACACTTGGCAAGTCACTTAACCCCAACTGGCTCACCAAAAAAAAAAAAAAGAAAAAAAAAAGAGTTTGATGTAAACTTAGAAGGAGACCTTCGGTTGAGTGCCCCAAGAATTTGTGCTTTGTTCCGATGCTGCTGACCATTTAAAAAAATTAATTGCACAGGATACTTACTAAATTTGCAGGTGACATCAAGGTAGCTAACACATTTTATGCCAGAATCAAGACTTACAAGGGCCTTGACAGGTTTAAGCAACACTGGGATGAATGTGACAACATGAAATTTAATAGGAATAATTATAAAGTCTCAAACTTAGGTTCAAAAACTCTATTTCTCAAGAATGAGCATAGCTAGAGAACAAAAGATCTTGGGTTTTTAGTGTTAAGTCCAGTCAAATGAGCAAACATTTATTAAGCGCCTACTCTATTCCAGGCATTATACTAGGCTGGAAAGGTTAAATTTAGTGTATTTGTCCAATTCATGATAAAAAAAAAATCTTGAAAATTAAAATTTTAAAAATACATCTAAGGGCTTTTGTAGCTTGCTGGTTGGGAGCAGCAACCAATGAACTCTAGACAGTTTTCAAGGCTACAAGCTTAAGACCAAGAGACAGAAGGGATCAGCAGAAGTGAAATATAAAATCTGATCCCTCCAGGAGAGAGAAGATCAGTGAAAAGCAGCATTGCGTTATCTCTAGAGAATCTTGGTGATTATGTATTGTTAAATGGCTTTGGCTACACATGCTCCCTGACCTCATGGGCTCAATGCATGTGTTTCTGTTAGCGTGGTAACCTCTGTGTACATGGGGAAGGGATTTTTCTGTATCACTTATTCTACTTTTGATTTATAGTTTGATAAAATGTGCTTTGCTTTGAACTATGGGTCTTTTAGTTAAGAGACACATTGATCAGGGTTCATAAGCTATGGTTTTGAGTAGTTGTTGATCCAGAAAATCCATCAAGAAACCACAGCCTATCTAAGTATTTTTTCACTTCTTTCTTTTTATATGTTGTCTTCTCTCATTAGAGAGAAGCTCTCTCTAAGCTCCTTGAAGGCAGGGACTGTCTTTCTTTCTACTCGTATTTTTATCCCCAGAACTTAGCATAGTGCCTAACGCATGATAAGGACCTAACAAATGCTTATTGTTGCTGTTGACTTTCAATCTGGAATAGCCACTCTCAGATCTGAACTCTGAAGTCGATTAACTGAGAGGCTTCTGATACAGCCATGCTGCCTCAGTTTGGAGAGACTTCAGAGAAGGAGAGAGAGAAGTGGAAAGAGAATAACAGATGAGAGACAAAGGTTGGACTTCTGAATGGTTGCACACATATGGGGAATCTATCCTTTGATTCTTGGTGCCTACACTGAATTTGTTCTTTCTCGGTTGAGCTGAAATTTGCTCTTATGTATTACATCATCTGCCCTAATCTGTATAATTTCCCCATCTCTGCTTATTATTTGCTTGAAGAAATGCATTTGCTTGATATACAGCTCAATACACATCTCATGTAAACAGAGTTTTGTGGGACAGAGTAAAGTTGGCAAGAGTAAGCTCCCTTGTGCACATTCAGGGAAAGTGGCTTTTATTCTGAACCTTTTTATTTTGAAAATGTAAAAGAACATTACATCCCTAGACTATACATACATAAACTGTAACAGAGATATAATTCTATCCCAAAAGCCCTCTTGGAGACAGGAGAGTGATGGATCACCCAGCCAAAAATGTCCTAGATTCTGCCTGTTAATTTCCTGCTAATGGTAGGAAATATACTAGGGGTACATCCATGGACTTCCTTGGACTCTCCACAAATGTGGAAATAGAAATCTCCCTAGACAAGGTGGGCTAGATCCCAGGTCAGATATCTATGTCACAAGTAGGCAAGCCAATCTTTGTTAGATGGTCCATCCATCTATATTACACTTGAATTATTACCTTCTTTGCATGATTGTAAATGTCTTCTCTGTTACTGCAGTCTACCACGTAGGTGTGAACTCTCGCGCCCAATTTTTTGCATTCTGCAGCTGTCTCTTCAAGGCCATGCTGTAATCAAAGACAAAAGGGGTGAGGCTAGAATTCAAATTACTGTCACATTGTAAATATGACAACTGAAAATTAAGTTAGTAATTTTATTTAAATTAATTTAACAATCTTTAAAAAATTTTTAAATAAAAATAGCATTAAAAAAATTTAACTCTATTCAGGATGTAGACTGTGAAGCTTCAGGGCCCTTCTCTAAACCTATGGTCTGGAAAGATGAGTATTGGCTCTGTCTGTGGCTATAATCACTCAACAAAGTGATATATTTGCTTGTGGCTTAAATTTTATAAAAACTTCCTTGAAGTAATCCAAAGAGTTCTACAAAGAAGGACGTTGTAATATACACACCACAAACCCACCTACTTTACTATCTCTATCACTCACACACAATTTTTGTGTTCAGTCAATATAGGGAGCCACTGGAGGAGGCCTCAGTTTCCTCATCTGTAAATTGAGGTTGGGCTAGTTGCCCTCTAAGTCCCCTATAAGTTCTCCATCTGATCCTATGTTCCTAAATTGTGATTTCATTGGTTTAAGGGCTATGAGTGAACTCCCTGTAGTAATGACTAAATCAGTCAGCAACACTTGCTACCACCTAATCAATACCTACTTTGTGCCAGGCACCTACTAAGGACCAAGGACACCTGCAGTTTTTCTGCTGCTTAGAGCTTTTCTGAGGTCAGTTCTTTTTGACCTTCATGATTCCATCCCCTTCCCTCAGGTAACAACTCTTATATACATCAAAGAGGGAAAAATATTGTGAGACATTTTCCCAAATATAAGTTCCTTTTTGGTATGGAATAATGATAGTCACGGGATGTAACATTGTTAGATTCATAATAAAATTATGATTTGAAAAAAAATCTTTAAAAAATTAGCCCAGTGTTATTCGAAACCACTGGTGGAAGGCATTTAAATAAAATCTTCTAAAAATATTTTACTACAAGAGTTCTCCCAAAGTTTTGTTAAGTAAAGTTTTCCACTATTGCAAAAAGCTTGAGAATTGCCATTTTAGACTAGACTCTGGATCTTTTAGAGAGCAAAAGGTGACAAATTGTGTTATAAAAGACAGGATGGGAGAAAGTTTATTTCAGTTACAGGATCAGCCTTAGAAAGGTACCACATCAGTTTCAGAAAACAAAATCGTTTTATGAGACTGTTATTTCCTCTTCACATGTTACACAAAGTATTCATAGGATAGTTTGCATTTGAGCAATTTTTAAAACTTCCCTTTTTAAAAAAGTAATAATCTGCTTAAGGTTGAGGTCAACTTATACTTAGGCCAACGGTAGTTTTTGAAAGGATGTTTCAAGAATTGTCAAGTGCAAACTATACTGTTAACTTAGTCAATATTTATAACTGCTTAAAAAGACATTATTTTAGAAAACAGTGAAAATTTACTAAATTGCAATGAGTGAACACTGGCCTAGTTGACATTAATAATTATTGTGATGCCTCAGGCAGCAGAATGAATCTAAGATCAGAGGACCTGGGCTTGAAGCCCAGTTTGGCTTATTGTGTGGCCTTAATTCTCACATAATGTTCCTGAAGTTACCCTTTCTGTACAATGGGAGTTGGATTAGATGATGTACAAGGTCTCAGGCAGCTCATCATAGGTCACTAACTTCTCCCTAAGCTTGTTTTCATTTCTTCATAGTTATATTAAGTCAGGCAAGTTCAACTACAAATTCCCTAACATGAATGCATTTTGACTGGGTAGGTAGGTAGTGATCCTCCCAGTTGGGTGAAAATCTTGTTTTGGGTCACCCTGTCCGGCTTTAAAGTGGGAATTACCATACTCTGACCCCAACACAGCAGTCCATAGGCTGGCCTCAGAAAGGCTGAGTAATGTTCCAGGCCTTAATATGCCCTGCAGAACGCCTTGGTATGTTTGAATGGTCACCTGAAAGTAGGGATGAGCAGGGTCAATCAGGACTCCCTCACCCTAAACCTGGATCTCCACTAAGGCATGAGGAGAAATATACTCACCAAAAAATATGACCCACAAATATTTATTGCTTCTAGTAGGTAAAGCACTTAACAAAACAGGCAAGGAGAAATCTGAAAGAAGGGCAGCTTTAGGCTTTCTCTATCTGCTTGAAAGGCTATTTTATTTTCATCAGTAATCACAAACAGGGATTTATTCAAAAGGTATTTCATTGTATTTTACAGGGTTCCAGTGATTTCATCTAGATTTCTAAAGGACTTCAGAAACCAGTTCACCTTCCCGCCCCCAACCCACACCTCCCACCATCTTCAGAAGAGGAAACAGAAGCCCAGAGACGTTGTGACTAGTCCAGGGTCACCCAGTAAGCAAGCATCAAAGGAGGGGAACTGAACTCAAGTTCTCTGACTCCAAAGCCAGAGCCTGAAAAGCTCAAAGCACACGCATATGAAATCTTAATTAATCTAACTGCGAGCTTCACGGCACCTGTGAGCAAAATAGAACTATATCAAAGACACTGATGACCCTAGGACCAAGTCTTTTATTCTCAGGCTGAGGCAAGACGCTTAAGAGACGGGCATCTCTCACTCCCTGCACCTGGGCAGGGACGAAGGTGGAATGAAGAAGGATTTAAGAGAATCTTTGAGATCAGAAACAGGGACCTGGGGGGTAAGGGGAGGAGGAAGTCAGATGAATAAAACCGTGTCATATTACCAGAGGGCAGAGCCCTGGATTAAGATCTAGGAATTACGGCTTCTCTGCTTATCACATGATCCTAAATAAACACATTTAACTGATCTATGTTTATTTTTTCCAACTGTGCAATAGAAATAATTCTACATACCTGCCTTACTGAGATGCTGTAAGAGGTGAAAGGTTTAAAAACAGAGTAGTGCTATTACCTTATTGATATCCCACAGAACCAGTTTGCTTTTAAGTTTGGCAAATTCACAGGCAGTGAGTCTCCCAATTCCATGACCAGCTCCGGTAATAAGTACAATTTCTCCACTGACTGCTTTTCTCTTCTTAGGTATAAAAAGCTTCACGAAAGACTCTAGGATGGAGAAAATCAGAATAGGGAGAAGCAGAAGAAGTTGCAAAGACATGTGCATTCTTGCAGCAAAGAGCTCTCCGGCCGATCAGAGCCTTGGGCTAGGAAGCTTTTCAATCAGAGAAACAAACAAGGCAAAGAAGGGCTCCTTCCGCAGGGCAGCGTTTTATAAGGTCTCCTGCAATTGGCTCGGGTGACCATGCAGACCGAGTGCTCACTAGCCAGCTTCTGGCAGGGAGGGGACAAAGTCCTGATGGGAGCAAGGCTTCCTCGCTCTCGTTAGCTCTGTTTAAAGGATTTGTGAGGCCCTTTGTGAGGTTTTCACTCTGCTTTTTTCCAGCTTTCTGAACTCATCCTGGGTTGTGAGTTATTTACTCTTTCCAATCTTGATTAACTGTTTCTCATTTCTTCCAAGAAAAGCGAAACAAAACCCTTTTGGGTCCAAAACCGTTCTTTGAAGGTTGATGACTGACATCTCCATTGTATTCAGGAATCCCTTGTGATTTCGCGTCACGAATTAGTGAAGTCTATGTAGGTTAAAAGTTACAGGTTCTGCTTTTTTTTTTTTTTAAAGGCAGTTGGGGTTAAGTGACTTGCCCAGGAAAACTGACTCTTTATTTTGTTTTCCTTAGGATCCTTTTCTTTCTTTTCTTTTCTTTTTTTGTTTTTTTTTGGCTAGGCAATGGGGTTAAGTGTCTTGCCCAAGGTCACACAGCTAGTGAATGTTATGTGTCGAGGCCGTATTTGAACTCAGGTCCTCCTGACTCCAGGGCCAGTGCTCTACCCACTGCGCCACCTAGCTGCCCCCAGGTTCTGCTTTTTGAGAAAAAAAAATGAGATTCAAATGCCTTAAAGTTTTCTATAAATAAGTTGCTTTAGGACAGACAAAATGCCTCAAGGGCAAGGAACCATTGAAAAGTGTGGTAAAATGGAAAATGAATTGCCCAGCAGTAAAAAAACCAAGGTGTTATTTATTCCCTCTGAGACCCTGGCTAAGGAACTTAACTTCTTTCTTAAAAAGAAGCTCTCTTTCCCCTATCCACCTGTGATTCTGTGAAATGCTTGCTTCTAGCAGATGGAGGAGGTGGTGGAGCCTCAAAATAAAACTTCAGAAATCAACAGCATTTCTATAAAATGATAATGAAATCCAAAAGGAAATGATAGAAAGAAAGGTACCATTCAAAATCATTATCAAATGCATAAAATACTTGAGGATCAATCCGCTGAAACACCCAAAATATTGATATAAATTAGATTACAAAATATTCCTTAAAGAATAACTTAAACAGCTGGAGAAATCTTCAGTGTTCACGGGTGGGCTATGATGATATAGTAAATCAATTAGTCAATCAATAAACACTTATTAAGCATATACTATGTGCCAGGCACCGTGCTAAGCCAAGAGAATATTACCAAAATTTCTTAACAGTTTTAATGCTCTATCAGTCTTAATAATAATAGCTAGCATTATTTAATATCTGCTATGTACCAGGTACTGTGTGCAAATATCATCTTGTTTGATCCTCACAACCACTCTTTGAGATGGTACTATTATTATCCGCAGAAACTGAAGCAAATAGAGGTTTAATAACTTGCCCAAGGTCACACAGCTAGGAAGTGTCTGAGGCTTGACCTGAACTCAGGTCTTCTTAACTCTGGGCCCTGGGTTTGATCCACTGTGCTACCTAGCTACCTCCAAACTATTAAAATGATACTTTACATAACTCAATAGAATAATAAAATTCATCTGGAGAAACAAAGATCTAGATAGAATATCAAGGGAAATAATAAAAAGAGGAAAGGATAAAGGGTAGCTGGCACCTCCAGATCTCAAATTATATAATAAAACAGCAGTCATCAGAACCATCAGGTGCTGTCTGAAACATAGAGAAATAGATCAAGGGAACAGGCTAGACCAGAGAGGATCAGAAACAATGGATCACGATAACCTGGTGTCTGCTAAAACTGACAACATAAATTAGGAAAGAACTCCCTATTTGATAAATCTTGCTGGGATGGGAAGCAGTGTAGTAGAAATTAGGCTTAGAGGGGTAGCTAGGTAGTGTACTGGATGAAGCACTAGCTCTGGAGTCCTGCAATTGACTCCGGTAAGAGAGGTGAAGGAGAATATGAGAGATCTGAGTTCAATTTCAGCCTCAGACACTCTCTAGGTCTGTGACCCTAAGCAAGTCACAACCCCAATTGCCTCAAAAAAAAAAAAAAGAGATAGAAACACATTACTCCATATTCTACAACACATTCTAAATGGATATACAACCTTAGTTTTAAAGATGATAATACAAAAAATTTAGAAGAGTATCAGATCAAACACATTTCACAACTACTGGTAGGCTATATAGTCTAACCAAGGGACTGAGGCAATTACAAAAGAGAAAATGGAACACGAATGGCTCCAAAGAAGAGATAGAGGCATCCTTCCCCATCTGCTTAGCAAAGAGGGGAGGTTTTCTGGTACATTGAACATATTTTCAAACTCTTTCAATTTATTAATCAGTTTTGCTGATTTTTTCTCTTATTTTTCTTTCATTAAACTGTGAATCCCAATTTACCTCATGAACCCTAGGAATCCCAATTTGAAAACAGAGCCTGCTCTAAGAAAGAGACAAATGAAATCAGGGTACACGTGTCCACAGTTTAATTTCTCTCAAGCTGGCTTGACATGCATTGCATGGGAGTTCAGTCCAAAACTGGGCCCCCTAAGGGGGCCAATACACAACTGGCTTGAATTGGGATTTTTAGGGTTACAAGTTATATGCCCTTCTAAGAGTAAGTGCTCCCAAGGGATGCCAATCAACTCTGGGAGGTGGGTTATATTAAAATGAGGGTCTTTCAGTACATGACCCAGGTCACTCAATCCTGGGAAAAGAGACATCAATTTCCATGTCACCTGTCTTGACAATAGAGAGGAATCAACATTCTTCCAGACCTGTCTAGGCAACATAATGAACAGGAACAGAACCATTTAGATTGTATCTTAATGTCCTTTCTGGAGACGGACTGAACTTAGAAAGAAAAGGGGATGGGGAAACTTTGAATTTCCAAGATAATAACCTAAGAAAAATTATTTTTCACAAAACATATTATTTGCTATATGGGTTGGCTCTTTGAGAAGAGGAAGTCAGAACATCGGGGGGAAAAGAGAAAGAAAAAGTTACTGACAAAAAAACTATAAAAATATGAAGCAATATTAATGTTTTTGTTTCCTTCATTAGAATTTGAGATCCTTGAAGATAGGCATCATGTTTTTCCTTTTTTTTTTTTTTTTCATATCCCTATTGGGCAGCTAGGTGGCACAGTGGATAGAGTGCTGGACCTGGAGTTAGGAGGACTCATTTTCCTGAGGTCAAATCTGGCCTCAGACACTTTCTAGATGTGTGACTGGAGAAGTCACTTAACCCTATTTGCCTCAGTTCCTTATCTGTAGAATGAACTGGAGAAGGAAATGCAAACCACTTCAGTATCTTTGCCAAGAAAATCCAAATGCGGTCACAAGGAAGTCAGTCATAATGACTGTGGGAAAGATTTAGAAGTTAGGCTTCCACAGTAGAACACAGGAATTCTGAGGGAGACTTCTAAGATCTTTCGGATAGTCCCTCAACCAATCAGAAAGTATCCTAAACACTCTGAAAAACCACTGCTTCCTTAAGACAGAACCCTAGAGGCTAAACTGGTTACAGCCCGTCAGGGTCCAGGACTGGGCAAACGCTATTCTCCACTAAGCTTGCTTAAAAAGCTTACTGAATATTAACTGACACACCCCAAGGGCAGAGATAGCTGCCATTTTTGAACATGGGATGTATGAACCTGGAGGAATGAACATAACAAAGAGTAACATGTGATGGGCAGTTCAGGAAGAGTGTAACCCAAATGAGGGGGTCCAATTCCAGCTCAAATGGGAAGAGTATGGATTTTACTAACCACTTAAAAAGTTGGCGCTGCTTCCAAATCAGTGCACACGTGCTGTACTAGAGTGCAGTGTGCCCGCTTCTCTCGAGAAGCATAATAAAGGCTTTGCTTCACACTTTCGGGTAGTAGATTCTTTTTTCAGATTTTTCTAACAATGACTCAACAGCAACAAAAATTATCCCTAGCAATTAGCACAGAACAGGCTTTAAGTAAGTCTACTGCTGATGATAATTAAGAAGATGGTATAACAGGGAAATTGATTGAGATATCCTTGCAAGGAGTAGTAATATGGATTTGATTACTGTTCTTAAAACTAGAATTGAGATGTTAGTTAATAAGTTTACATATTAAACGTTTACTTTGTGTTAAGCACTGTGCAAAATACAAATAGAAGCAGAAAGACAATCCCTGCCCTCAAGGAGTTTACGTTCTAATGGTAATTAAACACATAAAAGGAAGTTGTAAAGGAGGAAAGGAGGCAAAGATACCTATTTTAGTTTGGTAGAGAAGTCCTGGGTATAGCCTGGAGAGGAACGAGACTTGGCTTAAAATGTTAAATAGTATATACTTAAAACCAAGAGCCACCATTGGAGAAATACTGGAGGCTTTTCCAATCCATTGAGGGTAAAAAATAATGTCCATTATCACCACTACTAATTGATATGGTGACAGAAGTGTTAGCAACAGTATTAAGACAAGAAAAAGAAACTAAGGGAATAATTTATGAAGAGAGGAAACAAAATTATTCGTTTTGCAGTTGACATGATGATCTACTTAGAGAATCTAGAGATTCACCTAAAATTAATTGAAGCAATTAATAACTTCAGCAAAGTGGTAGAATATAAAATGAACCATACCAGGGGCAGCTAGGTGGTACAGTGGATGGAGCACTGGCCCTGGAGTCAGGAGGACCTGAGTTCAAATCCAACCTCAAACACATAATACTTCCTAGCTGTCTGACTCTGAGCAAGTCACTTAACCCCAATTGCCTCACTAAAACAAAACAAAAATAAATAAATAAACCATACCAGTCAGCCTCACTATATATTACCAACAAAATCCAGCAGAAAGGGATAGAATGAAAAAATCTGTTAACAAAAACTATACAATGTATAAAGTATTGGGGATTCTAGTTAACCAACACTGTTTACAGAAATAAGATAGGCCTAACTAGTTGGAGAAATATTCATTTCTCACTGTTAGGCAATGCCCATGTAATAAACATGGTAATACTACAAAAGTTAATTGACTACTCAGTGTCATGTCAATCAAACTACCGAAGGGTTATATTATAGAACTAGAAAAAAATCGTAATGGCATTCATCTTGAGGAGCAAAAGATCAGGAATCTCAATACATGAAAAAAATAATGTAAATTAATAATGAAAATGATGGGGTGCTTGGGTGCTTGTGCTTGGACTTGGACCCCAATTTCTCCCTAGCCTCAGAAACACTCTCTCTGACAACCACTCCCCAGCCCAAGGACATTGTGCCTAGCCTCA